TGGGCATCTAGGTTTCTCGAAGCTATTCGACCACTAGATGAGGCGTGGGTAACGTCTTTTGAGCACTCAATCGATCCAAAGATTGATGACAAATCTCTTACCTATAAGGATCTGTCAAATGGCTTCCGGAGACTCATCCCACGACTCCGTACAAAACGACAATCCCGTATAATAAAAGGCTCTTTCGCCACTCATCTGAGTAAGAGCGACGACAGCGAAGAAGAAAATGAAGAAAGCTTGCAGCGAGGGAGAGCTGTGGAGCGTGGTCGACGACGTTCGCGATCACAATCATTTGAAGGAGGACAGCGCAGCGGATTTGCTCCAGATAAAAGAGGTGGACCTAAACCGACCTGCCCTGCATGCGGAGGCATGCACTTTATTGACTTCTGCTTCTATATTTTTGGTTATAAGGCTCCTCAAGAGTTTGAGCCAAGACTTTGGCTTCAACAAAGAGCCGATAGATGGCTCAACAGCAATGCACCATTAGCAAAAGAGGTAAGACGTGTACTAACCAAAGAACAGGGACAAGCTCCTTCTCAAAGGAAAGAACGATCTCGCTCTAGAAGTCGATCCCAAGAGCGACGAGAACCTATAACTCAAAATACTCAGAATGAGGTGACTTTCCAAGGAGAAACAGCAAGTTCGAATTGACTCTTTAAGACGGCAGTAGGCAGCTGCAAATCGACCTGCTACATTCGCATGGAAAAGGATTTGGCTGCACTGTCAATTAACGAATATCCTTTAAAACATTCAGCTTTATTGGATTCAGGGTCATCAATTCACGTTTTCAATGAGATAGAAAGGTTTGTGAACTTCCGGAAAGCGACAGCAGGAGACTTCCTATGGGCAGGCACCCACCAAGTACCTGTCTTAGGATATGGAGAAGTGGATATCGAAATCCACGGCCTTGGTGGAAGACTTCAAATTCTGCGCCTTTATAACGTGGCATACTGCAAGGACTTTGTGGCAAACCTGGTGTCTTTCCAACAACTAAGAAAGCATGGAATCTGGTGGGACACCAGAAGAGGCTTCGACTGCCTTCGGAACGAGAAAAATCAAGTCCTTGCATATGTAAAAGAGAGGGAAGGTCAATTTGTACTCGAACATATCGCCAACGACCATCCTCTCGTAAAAATGGCCTTCATGATACGACGGCACCGCTTCAATTCGTGGACAGTCAGAAAAGAACGAAAAGCTGACGCTAAGAGATGGCATGCTCGCCTTGGCCATCCTGGACCCCAAGCTATCGAACACCTTGCCACAACGACAAAAGGTGTAAGAGTGACTGGCCTATCCAAAGGTCCTACCACTGTACAGTGCGAAGCATGTGGAAGGGCAAAAGCCAGACGAATCATACGACGAGAAGAAAGAAATATTGTGGAACGACCTGGCGTGCATCTAGCGATTGATTTTCATGACTTTCAGAAAAGCTCAATGAATGGAGAAAAGACATTGATGCTTATAACCGATCGATTTAGCGGTCTTATCTGGGACTTTTATATGACGTCGCACAAAAGCGTGGAGATATTAGAAACTCTGAAATGGTTCTTTGAATATCTGAAAAAGCACCATGATGTTAGTCCGATCAAGATTGAGATGGATAATGAGATATTCTTACACCGACTTGAGGTAAAGGAGTGGCTGATTACCAAACATGTTACTATCGAGCCCTCAACGGTAAATAATCAAGGACAAAACGGTGCCGCTGAGCGCTCAGGGGGTGTCATCAAGGATAAGGCTAGGGCCATGAGAAATGGTGCAAAGTTACCTACGGATTTATGGTCAGAAATATACCGAGCCTCAATCTATCTTTACAACCGTACCCCGAAGTTCATGTACAACTGGAAAACGCCATACGATAGGTTCCATACTTACGTTGCTTTGCAAAATGGAATTTGCATATAAGATCAGAAACCTCAGCTTGCTCACCTGAAGGTATATGGCTGTAAGGCATATGCCCTCACATCGGAGTATCAACTCAAGAAAAATCGACTTCAACGCTTCAATCCGCGAGCATGGGTAGGCTATCTCGTTGGATATGACTCAACAAATGTTTATAGGATTTGGAATCCTTTGACAGGGAGGATCGTGCGAGCAAGGGACGTTATTTTTAACGAGGATGAAGTCTTCAGTGGAGATATCCAAGATATCAAGGATGATCTCCTTCATGTGTCTGTTGAAGAACTGACAATCTTGCTGAACAAGATAGATATCCGAGTACAGTCAGGTGAAGTCGAAGATAATGCTAACTTTGGAGATGAGATGGAGGATTTGGTGTTTGACCGAAATAGGCACAACGATGAGCGTACGACAACAACAGGCTCGGTGACTGGTTCTGGATTTGAAGATTCAAGTCAGCTTGATTCGGACTATCCAAGCGGCCCATCTCTGACGCCAGGAGAAGGATTGTTAGAGGGGATTGATAAATATGCTTATCCTACACCTCCAGATACGCCTCCGAGCGCACTGTTGGCGGCTAGCATAACTATCGTCCATGAAAATGACCTCAACCTCCGTCAGAGCTCTGAGCACGCAGCTGGAACGTCAACTGGCGGGGTCAGGCCCAGAGGGTCGCTCGTTCAGGAAGCAACCACCAAGGAAGGTCCCAGAGGGGCTCTTGATGGTGTAGGCACGGTCAGGTCCAGAGGATCGCGTGCTGAGTTTGGGGACAGGCCCAGAGGGTCGCCCAATCTGCGTGACTCCATGGTAGGTCTCAGAGAGGCTCATGGCAGGCATATCCTTGAGGACGGACCCAGAGGGTCGCTTGAGAAGAACGGGGTAGGCTTCAGAGAGGCTCCTGTTAAAACCGTCGCCGCTGCTTTGACTACGCAACGAGGAGAGCTCAATCCTTGGAGGTTTGCTTTTCTAGCAGGCACACGACATCGTCAGTATGAGGTGAACACAGTCAAATTTGATCACGTGAGCCTCCAACGACGTCTAAGGTCAGGACGTCGACTTCAGTCAGTTCTAGTCCGCGACCTACCGCCTGCTCCCAAGAGTCACCGTGAAGTGGAAAAACATCCTTTAGGTTGGTTATTTGAGGAGGCTGAGAGAGATCACCTTAAAAGTCACGATCCATCTGGCTCTTGGACAACGGTGCCTATCGGTAAGGCAAAAGGAAAGCAGATTCTCGATTGTATGTGGGTATATGTCTATAGCAGACAGAAAGTCGTCTAGTCAAGTGCAAGGCACGACTCGTGGTAAGAGGTGATCAAGAGAAAAGAGATGATACAAGGGACACGTATGCTGCTACTCTTGCTGCGAGATCTTTTAGGACATTTATGGCTATTGCTGCGCGCTTCAATCTGGAACTCAAGCAATATGACGCTGTCAATGCCTTCGTTAATGCCATACTGGACGAAGAGATCTTTATGAGAATGGCTCCTGGATATCGTGAGTCTGGAAAAATATATCGACTGAACAAGGCTCTTTACGGATTGCGTAGATCACCACTCCTATGGCAAAAGGAACTTACCAGCACCCTCGTAGAGTTGGGTTTCAAAACAGTGCCTCACGAACCGTGTTGCATGTTGAAATCTGGGATCATACTGTTCTTTTATGTAGACGATATCGTTGTCGCATATAAGAAGAGCCACCAACCAGAAGCTGACTCAGTCATGAACCAACTTCGTGCCAAATACAAAATATCCGGAGGAGGAGACCTGGAGTGGTTCCTAGGTATGAGAGTTATACGGGATCGAAGCAATAAGGTGATCTGGCTCAGTCAAGCCACCTATATCGACAAAATTGCGAAGTTAGCCGACACTCGACAGACTGACGACACACCAATGGCTCGAGAAGAATTACTCCCATACGAAGGAATGGCCACCTACAAAAGTAACCATCAATATCAACGAAAAGTTGGCTCAATTATGTACGTGGCAGTAAGCACTCGACCTGACGTGGCTTTTGCCGTCTCACGGCTTTCACGGTTCTTGTCAAATCCCGGACCAAAGCACCATCAAGCTGCTGACAAGGTTTTATGCTACCTCGAACGTCATCGTGCGTACGCCTTGAGGCTTGGAGGAGGTGAAGATTATTCAGTATCAACAGACGCCTCCTTTGCAGATAATACACTTGACCGTAAGAGCTCGCAAGCATACGTCATGACACTTTTTGGTGGAACGATAGGATGGCAAGCGAACAAGCAGGATACGGTAACAACGTCAACCACTGAAGCTGAACTGTTAGCTCTCGCTCAGGGGGTGAAAGAAGGCAAATATGTCCTTCGATTGCTTCTGGAGTTGGAGATACGTTTTAGAACACCTACTCTTCACGTTTTCTGCGATAACCAGCAAACTCTAGGATTGCTGGAGAAGGACGCTCCGCGACTGCGTACGAAGCTCCGACACGTCGATATTCATAATCACTGGGTACGACAAGAGGTGCAGAAGGGAGACATCCAAGTGCACTACATGCCCACAAAAGATATGATTGCCAACGGCCTGACCAAGGCACTCAGCAAACAGGAACACCAAAAGTTCCTCAATCAAATCGGAGTAGAGGATATCGACAGCTATCTCACTCCCCAGCAAAAGGATATGGAGAACCCGGATATCGAAGAATTACTTTCTCTCAATGACGTGCCCGACAACTTATGAAGCTATTCCAGCTTTGCAAGCAGTTGCTTTCTGCAGCTGAGGGGGTGTGTCAGATAATCCGGCTTTCAAACGAGGCAGAAAGATCGACTGTTCAATCTTACAGGTCTAAAAGGCACCTTTAGGCATATATCTGGGCACCTAGATTTCAGCCCAATATTTACCCCTCCTGATAGCTCACAAATCACCCCGCCAAAGGTGTCTATAAAGGACCCGGCTTTAAAAAAAAAAAAACTTGAAAGACAGACACAGAACTCAATACATACAATCTTGCTAGTCACTTCTTTTCTTTGATCCTAGTAAAACACTCTTCAGGATTGGCCTGGAATAAACCGACCAATCCGACAGATATAGAGATTGTGCGGTTCGGAATTTAAATTTAAATATAGATAGCGTTGATAGCAGATATATAGGATTTGATAGTTAGGTGATACAACAGTGTGAGACCAGCTGGCCAGATTGATGCTTTTATTGATAAATAAGGCCACACGGGCTCTCTTATTGCTATTAGTATTATCATTGTTGTCGTTAGATTTAGAATAGAGGAGTTGATGCGTAAGACTCGCAGGCTGGTGCGTTATATTGTTTAGTTTGTTTCTCCATAATTCCTAAATTGCAATCACAGAGGCGCGGAGAGCTCAGGGATCACGTAAGAATATGGCCATGACCTTATCCTTGGATTTATGCATGTTATACTGTATAATCTCAAATATTATGCTCATTAGTTGAGAACATCTAGAGAAGCGCGTGTGTTCATGCCTTGTACAGTTTGTAGATTATCCTTCTCCTCTTCTTCCTCAATAGAGACTACGCGTGGTCCTTGACTGGGATAGAAACTATTTAAAAGTTCTGTATAGCCTTCCAAATTAATAGTTGTGTTATTATTAAGTTCATAGTAGCTAGCCGTGCTACTTAGGATGACATTGTTGTCTTCTATTATCATGTTTATCTGTGGAAGCTGTGATATCCGGGGTAGTGGTATCTCATCTAAATCTTGAGATCGTGTACGTACTTGGCGGTGGGCCTAGATACGCTGTCTGCGTATCTATTCAAGGTAGGCTCTTGATCTGGTGACTGGAGCTGTTGATTTTGCCGTGTTATCCTTGCTGAGTAGTGTTAGGTCGATAGTCTCCACAGGAGCGCTCAATTGAGTAATATCTACAGCCGATTAGATCTGTTCCGTAGGCTCTAATTCGTTCTCATCGTTGTTGTTAGATGATTTAGATTTGGGTGGTCTACCGCGAGGCTATTTTTTAATAGTTATGAATGGGATTGCCTTAATTTTCTTAGCTATTAGTATGATTTATGAGGTTATAGGGGCCTCCGGTGTTTGTAGGTGTGTTATTAATGCTGTAGGCTCATTGATTTCAGTAGAAACTATAGATGCTGTGGTTAATATCTTTGTACTCTTTACCACCCCTGAGGTGCTTTTAGTGGTTATTAATTTAGTCGTATTGATGCGCTTCCTTGTGGTTGCTTGGATCTGCGCAGCTTCGTGAGGAGTAGAATCCTCATTTGTGGCAGTATTCTGTTACATCAGCTTGGGCTGTAAGTACTGAGGCACCCGATGAAATGGTTCACAATTGATTAACGCAATCTTAGCCTTATCTAAGGCCTCACGTCGTACTAATCAAGGAAAGCCTACAACATTGATACAAGGAAAATTCGAGAATTGAAGTCACAAGATTGAATCTACGAATCAATTTTACAGCTTCGTGTCGAGAATCTTCTATTGAGATTGTCTGGATATCTTCTATATGGGATTCTCAAGCATAAATAGTGTCCAAAAATCCCATCAAGATGTAGATAGAAGAGTGTGCACAGAATAAGGTCAATATCAATATTTCCACTATAAAGATATCTTTGAGTATTAAGCTTAACTGAGTTTGTGCTAGTGCACAGCAAGTTCCGATAGAACCGGGAACTAATTAGTGACTAGATATATTGTATCGCTGATACAATATATAAAAGCAACGATACAACCAAAGAGATCACCGACAAGATATGTTGTATCATGGATATATTGACGGATGCATATATAAGGACACTCATTTACCATGTATCTAGTTTTATTTTACCGTCTTGAATTAACCGTGTTAGGCACCCCCTAACTGAGATAACTTGAGTATACGTTCTTCTATCGAACCGGATATTCATCCTTTTGTTAAGACTTTGCTTTCAAGAAGCCTTTCGTACTTAGAAGCCTTATAACTTCAGCTCGTTATAAGCTATCCGAGATATACACGACGGTAGTTTGACCGAAGTTTCCGACAAAACAATGGATTCGTAGTCGGACATATGAAACAGGTATAAGAAATAGGAATTTATAAATGTGTGTCAGCAGAGTTATCTAACTTATCCGAATTAGGGAAAGCATGAGAAACTTATGCATATGTGGGCCGTGAGGTCTGACCTTTCATTTCATTGATTCCGGCACAAGACTTGCATTTTCTTTCTTTCTGTCTTTTTTTTTTTTTCTTCCTTTCTTCCTTTCCTTCTTTCTTTGTCATCGGCTGGGAATTTGATACAATCATCAAGGTAGTTTTGAACAACGGTTGCCTATAACTTAAAAGATCCCAGTGTCGGCTAGGATCATATTTCAAGCAAGCTTGGAATATCGTCAAATTATTTTTCTCGATGCTCAGCTCGCTGTATTCTGATAATCGTCTCTGATCAACTTGTCATCTCCACTTGTTGAGAAAATGGGTCGCGTGTGTGCCGATTGTGGGCGCGATCTTCCCCAGTCGTCGTACACAGCAAATCAATACTCCAAGGGCGAGGGCATCTCGCGATGTGCAGGTTGTGTCCATGGTCACCATGCCGATACCCCATCCGCGAAGGAATCTAACAGCGGAAGATATAATGAATCTAGTCAGGCGACTCACGAGAACTACGAGCTAAGAAATCCTTTTGCAGAAGGTGCTTTCCGATGGGTGGCCAAGGGGCGATACGTTTCAGGTCCTCGCAAGGGCCAACAATGTGTTTCGAAGTGGTTCAAGACGGGCGCAGTATTTTCAAGCGATTATTTCACTCTCGATATAAAGGCCGTCGACAAGGCCTTGGAGTTAGTCAATCGATTTAACCAACTAAATATCATCAACAAAGTCATCAAAATTAACGTCCCAGCGGTGTGGACGTTTACCGACGACTCCCATGAGGACTGGGCTGGTCAGAAAGTTCTATGCGAACCCTTTATCAACAATTACCAGAAGTTTAACAGCAATAGCGGATGGAATGACGATGCTTTGCCGTGGGGTAAAGTCATGCAAGCTCTCAGCCATTTCAGCTACCACGTTTCCGGTGGCTTCTATGTCCTGTGCGATCTTCAAGGAGGCATTTATCAACATGAAGTTGTCCTTTCTGACCCTGTCATCTTATCCCGGCGCCGCGAGTATGGTGTTACTGATCTTGGCCCTGATGGCATCAGCTCGTTCTTCAGCCAGCATGAATGCAACAACTTTTGTCGCCCGAACTGGACCAAGCCAGCTAACCCAGTCCAACATTTCCGCCCAGTGCCTGGTACCACTATGATTAGACGTACTGTGCCGACTGGATATTCTCGACCTCATGGGACAAGACATTGAAAATCTTCACCTGATATGTCCAGAATGTGGGTGGATATGGAGGAATCATACAATCGGAATGCATGCGGACTCTTTATGGCGGCTTCTGCGCATTGAGTGACAGGGTGGTACGACGATTTACCAACAATAGTCTAGCATTTGCATGGTCTTGGATACTGGGTGGTTTACTGATGTTTTTTTCTTTTACTATGCTACTTTTATTATCAGCGAAATCGCTTTCGTTTGAGATTGAATCAAGGGATCTATAGAATGAAACAGCGGCGTTGCTTGCTTGAAGATTGATCTGGTTTTTTCTGGCGCTTTGACTTGCCAGCGTATTGAGGGTCGACAACCTCAGTAAGCCAGCCACATAATACAATCGCATGGGCCGTACTCAACTTCTGAAACTGTGTAACGGAGCCGAATTCCAGAGCTATGAGGCCGGGCGACATATCCCTTGGCTTTGCGCTGTTCACACACTTCTCACCAACCACGAGGAGCTGTCTGATCATCGCGTGTCCTACGCCATTCCTCCGCCATTTTACGTCTGTAATATATACCTTTTCAATTAAGAGGAGTGGCCCATTGTCAAGCTCAGACCCCCACACACCTGTTTCATGGTGCACGGTATGCAACTTGAACTTTCCTTGAGGAAACCATACCGATTAAAAACTCTCCACGCAATCTGTCCTACAGATCAATCGCTCTCCTATCAGTTCTTGGCAAAGGACTTAAGCGCCTGGTGGCACGGAATATGGCATAGATCTCTATACACTACAAAGTATTAGCAAGGCAATAGTTTGGAGCTCTCCCATTAAGATCTGCAAATAATCTAACCACATGCCTAACACATAATGTTGAATAAGTGCTAAATCAAGGCATAACTGCCTCACTCCTTACCCTAGATGTTAAAGGCGCATTTGACGCTGTGCTTCCTGGCAGACTGATCTGCAGATTACGTGAGCAGGGCTGGCCCACCAATCTTGTTCTCTGGATTGCCTCCTTTGCTACTGGGCGATCAGTTCAGATCTGACTCGATAGAGAGATTGGCCCCTCAACAGACATTGCCTGCGGTCTTCCACAAGGATCCCCAGTATCTGGCATTCTTTTCATACTCTACATAGCGCCTCTACTCCATCTAGGAAACCCAAGGAACAAATTTGGTTATACGGACGACACAGCTAACCTGGCAATCTCAACATCCCTTGCTACTAACTGCGAAGCCTTATCAGACTTACTTTAAGAAGCTTTTAACTGGGGTGCTGCAGAGGGCATTACTTTCGCACCAGATAAATATAAGCTTCTTCACTTCTCTTAACATAAAGCAAACCAGGACCTAACCTGCACACCTTCAGTAAAAGCTGGATCTATCATAATCTCAGAAAATACTAAACAGCTATATTTACGTTGGCTAGGAATTCTCTTTGACAAAAAGCTAATATTTAAATGGCACATTAGTGAAATAGCATCTAAAGCCCTCACTATGGCTAATGCCCTTTGCTCTCTAGAGAATACTATCTAAGGAGTTAAACCTTATTTACTACAGTAGATTGTATTAGCCTATGTACTCCATAAAGCATACTATAGCGCTGAAACCTAGTGGCCAGGACGTACTTGCCCTAGGTCTTCCTAGACTTCAAACTGAGTTAGAGAACATCTTAAGAAACTAACTAAAGTAATACTAGCAGGCATAAGAGCAGTCCTTCCAGTTTTCTACACAATCCCAATATCTATCCTTTACCAAGAGTCTAGATTCTCTCCACCAGAAATTGAACTAGATTGAATAGCCCTCCTTGCAACTATCCGCCTATGGCGTCTGGATTCTTACCACCCACTTTGAAGACGCGCAGAACAGGTTGCTAGTAATGGCTGACAAACCAGCTGATTTGCCCACCATATACTGGCCCTCTCTAACTCTAAGCAGATAAACCCTCTCCAATACGCTCCCTAGCACCCTCGCGAGTCTTGTGAGAATGCCCAAGCTCGAATAGGAGCTCCCATGGGACGCACTAAGGAACAGGCAGCAGCTAATTTCATGGTTTTTCAATGCACCATCCCTAGCTCTAATATTATAATCTTTTCAGATAGATCTAGACTGGTAGACAGACGTGCAGGGGGTAGCTATATTGGATTTCAAGCATATTATTAGTTCCTCTGCTCCTCACTCTCATATAGACATGGGAAAGAGGTCTTCAATGCAGAAGTAGAAGCTGCCCTAGCTGGTGCTCAAGCAGCAATAGCATACCCAACAGCTCAATTTGCTACCAACTTATGGATCTGCCTTGACAACTTGGAAGTTGCCACGCACCTCCTATCTCTCTCTACAGGATCCTCTCAAGAGGTCTTTGAATCCTTCCACACCCTTGCAGCCGCCTGGTCACTACGCGAGAGGCTTCCACATACCAAAAATGGATCAATCTAAATCTGATGGGTCCCTGGACACACCAAAATCCCTAAGAATAAAGCAGCTGATCTCACTACTAAAGAGGGAGCTATCTCTGCTTCCCTCTCTCCATCCAAATCTTTATATGCCTCGCTAAAGAGATATGCCAAGACTCAAGCCCTTTCCGCTACTCAGATATAGTGGCAGACTGTAGCGCCACAGACATACCAAGACCTAAAAATAACTATATCTCCTAAGCATCCTAGAGAGCTTCTGCTCAACCAACTCGATCTTGGCTGTATCATCGCAGCCCGTACTGGTCATAGAGACTTTGCGGACTATTATAAATGTTTTAATCATGATGATGCTCATCTATTATGTCAGTGTGGAGCATGAAAAGCACCCCTACACTTCTTCTTCTATTATATAGCTAAGAGATGAGCCCCTCATCCTCCTAGGCCCCCTTCTGAGGTCATCTCCTTTCTTTTAGGCACTGCAAAAGGAGCACAAAAACTAGCCACATAGCTAGCAGAAACCCGTTTCTTTGAGTACATCTGTCCTCGCCAACCTCTCCTTAGCACCTAGCTAAGTCAGCCCTACTTCCCCCTTATATCTCTCTTTTCCTTCTCTCGTTCTTTCCTTCTTTCTTTCTTTCCTTCTTCCCTTCCTTCTTCTGAAACTCACTGCTTAATTGCGATGGTGGTAGAATTATGGGTCATGGTGCGTAGGCGGACCATTGCAGCTGGCAAATACCCAAAACCCACTAGGAAGTGGACCTCCCTGTAAGACCACGGCAGCTATGGAAATGCGCCAGAGAGTCTTTTATTTGTATATAAATCTGATAGGACCTGAAGCCCAAGGTTTACCCCTCGGCGGCCTATGTTCCAGTAGGGATCGGTGGAAAGCGTGCAAGTCACGAACCACGGCCGTTAAATAGACACACACACACACACTCAGGTTATATAAATCCGATAGGACCTAAAGCCCGAGATTTACCCCTTGGCGGCCTATGTCCCAGTAGGAATCGGTGGGAAGCGTGCGAGTCACGAACCACGGCTATTAAATACATACACACACACACACCTCGTTCTTAGAATTGCGTTGTCAGACGCTCTATTCCTGCCTATATTTTCTCTCTTTCTCCCGCTTCCAGTCCCAGGCTACGCGGCCCAGGCGCGCTAAAACGCGTTCCGCAACGCTATGGCACAGAATTGCTCTGAACCTGACAAGAGGTCTCTATAAACCGCTCTACAAGAGACAACCACTGCTGCTACCACTAGAGCAGCTAATAGTCAGAAAATCACGGGACCACCGCCATACAGGTAGACGTCGGTACCGCATTGGGCCTAGCGTGATCGTAGCAAGGACATCAACCTCGCACGCCACGGATCTCAGATAGTTAGTGTTGGTTTAACTACGGTCCGTATCACGAAGCATAGACGGTAGTAAGGCGCGAACACGAAGCGGCCTAATGAGCCTGACAATATGAAGATATCTTGATTCCTAATATTGTGACTTGTCCCCAAGAACGAGGGGGAACGGGGGGATAGCTAGTTAGATATACACGCGGCACGCACGTGCCACGTGAGACTAAGTAGTCCGGTGCCGAAACGCGTAGAGTTTGATATTCACGTTCCGACAGTTAGTTAGACTTCTCAATATCACTCTCTCTAGCCCATCACCAGAAAATCTTCAGCCTAATAGCTACTTTTCTCAATAAACACCGCAATCAGTCGGCTAGCCTCAGCCCTCATCTACAAAGAGCTCTCACTGCTCTAAGCGATAATCTAGCTACTGTAGCTCAACACTATTTTAATACCTATATAAGTGGTATCACTCCTACTCCCTCTACCCCTTCCCCTACCCTAGCCTCTTCCCCTACCCCCAGCTCTCTTCCCCCCTTTGGCCTTGCATAGTCCTCCTACGCAACAATTACTAAACCCACCCTAGCCAAGCCAGCTACTGCTGCACAACAAATAAAGCCACCTATAAAAAAGCCTATATCTGATGTGAAACAATCCCTCCCTGACCACCATCTCTTCGTACGCCTCCCACCTGACCACGCAGCTAGAAAGATGGACATGTACGCCATCTTCTCTAGCCTCTGGTCCTAACTAGGCACAAACAGTAATACTCTAAAAGAAGTACAAATAATAAAGACTGGCTTCGCCCTCTGTCCTGCATCCAAGGAGGCCCTTTTAACCCTTAAGGCCTAGAAAGAAGTCATATCCACCTACTTTGGTGACTACCAAATTAAATGGAGCTCTTACTAGATCTCATACAGAGTCACAAACCTGCCAAGAAAGACTGGCCAAATTATCAACAGCCAGTACTCTATAATCCTAGTCAACTAACAATACTATCTGCTGAAATTGCCAAGCAAACAGGATATAGACCTATATCTGTTAGCAAGACTACTACTAGTGCTACTAATGCTAACTCACTGTCTTCAAGCTAGTTTATTAATTTCTCTGAAGACACTAAGGCCTCTCTCTCAACTTAGCTCTATATCTTTAACACTATCATTAATGCTTACTTCCTTACTAGGAAGACAAAATCATTTAATATAACTACTACTAGAAATAGCATAATGCGCGGTCCTATGCATGACCCCTAAGATGTTGACTCTGTAGCTTATTAGAATATATAGAAGAAGGACACAACAATAGTTATTCTACTGATATTCACTGATAAATTATCAAAATTATCCGGGGAGTTTAAAAATACGTAAAATTACTGTCTCTTTCAATGGCGTCAAGAGCCAGATAAACATTGGCTTCACATGGAATAGATTCCACAGTTTGTTACAGAGGAATATGGTGTTGCATATCGAAGATGCATGTTGCTTGTGTGACGGTCGCAATCCAGGCATGGGAGTAGTGCGTTTAGTGTAGTGTGAGAGGTCCACACTACAATACACCATTCTTGGAGCCAAAACATACATACTACATTACACTACACTGAACACACTACTTTTTTTACTAAGCAGAATTCTTGTGGCAACTATACTAGTTATTCCGTCTATTTCCATTCGATTACCTGATATCGATAGCATTGCTTCAAGCATGCTGCTGCACCTATGATATCTGCTTTGTGGCACCCCCTATCTGGTCGGACCATTCTTTCTGGCTCCACACTCATTGCTAGAATCGCAAACAAGTCCAGGCAAAAGTTGCAAGATACGGCTATACTAAGCACCTGTCATACCAGTACGCAACTAGATCATCCGTATTCTTCTCCCTTGGCAGCTTCTGCCACTCAGCAAACTCATCAGTAAGTTCTAGCTTCTCTTCGTCATTACTGGTGTGAAACTCTTCCTCCATGGCATATTCAAGACTAGTATTTTGGTCTGCTTAACGTCTATAGATTTTAATTATATCTGAATCCAAGAGATCTTTGACTTTCTTTGTCTTGTAAAGATTCTACTGTTTTTGAAGAGCAGTATCTACAGCATTTTGCCAATCAACATGATCAGCCCATTTCTTCTGGATCCACTGCCATTTAAGGTGTGGGTGGAGAGATATTGCAGCGACATAAGCAGATAAATCATCGGGTCAATCGATAGCATTTATCCAGCTTCTCCCATCCAAGCTGGAGGCTGTTATGGAGGTGGCGATATACTATTGGGCTCCAATTTTCAGGGATATCACCATCTGCGGTACTCATAACCGGAGAGTACCTATCGATGAAGACTTTCATATCTTTGAGCAGCAACTCTATGGCAGGAAGAATCTCCCAGAGAGCCCCGTATCTACATATATAACTATGAAGGAGGAGACTTCCAAGGGAAAGATTGATGATTAGACTTCGGACTTACCGTCCTGTGCTCGGCCCTCAAGCCGCTTGATGGCTAATTTGAAGGGTTTTAAATCGCAAGATATTCTGTCAAAACTGACAAGCCATCCACTGAGAAATAGTCTTTACAAATTGTGGACCTAGATTGGTTTTTTTCAGTAGGGGCCTTGTGCTGTTGTGTGTAATCTTCGCTACATAATCATCATACTCCTTCATTATTTTGTGCATGAACTCATCAATAGGAGTTCGGAGCATCACACCGCGTTCAATCATATCATATGATGAATTCCAGCAAGTCTCTTGGTCCTCGACCAATTTATAAATCTTCATCTGAAAGACATGTGATTTCGGTCTCCTGGAGCTTCTCGGAGAGCTGTTGCCATTGACCAGGCCAAGTGATATTGACAATTGTTTGTACGCGCACAACATCCTGTCGGAATTTGGCACCACTGCAAGAAGCTGCGGGGAGTTTCTGTTATACGTGTTTCATGATTTCGGGATAGCTCACAAAAATCCTTTGTGAGCTCATATCCATACTTCACTCGTTGTTTGTACATGTCTCAATTGCCGGATTGAGTCCTTACTCAATCCCCAACGTAGGTTCCTCGCAGGCATAAATATGGCCTGCGTTCCCCATGAGATAGTTCGAGTGATCAGTTATCAATTAGGAATCATGTTACTATATTGATCGAACTCACCCATAGGCTTGTTGGACTAGCCTTGCACCAATCCCTGCTTCGTGTTCTGGGACCGTGCTAAACCAACAACAATGTTGTGAAGTTTTCCAATGGGGCCTTTTTCCTCCACAGGTCTAGGTCTTTCAGCTCCTCTTTTGCTAGCCGAATATCTTCTTGTAGAGCATCAGGATCTTTGCCAAAAATTATCTTATGAGTAACCGATTCAGTACATTACTAGCACGCCGAAGACGACTATAGATACATAAAATAGTGAGCTTTCATTTGCCAATGTGAAGTTATAGTTATTTACCTTTTACCTGCATCGAATGCAAACACATCAGCGAGCGCAATGACTGCTGTATCATTGTTGTCTGCATTATCTAGTATAAAATAGCGAAGCCGATCTTAAGGCTAATTTATAAATAAACAACTGTAACGCCCTTTACAATATTGATCCCAGTATGACTGCCAACAACTTCTGGTAGACTGAGTAGAAAGGTGCATAATTTGCCTTGCTAGTTAATGAAGTGCACAACTATTCCATATAGTGTGAGAAAATTTTGAGACGTCTAGAGATCAAAGGATATATGGATTTTGCCTAGCGTTATGTAGATGCTCTATTATTATTCCTTTATATTTGTCAAAATCTTATAACCCAGTCATAAATAGATCGGTAAGTGGGTAGACACCCAAACTCACCCAGAGATCCATTTAATTCAAGCATCAGATCATGGAAATAAGGACTCTCAACTTGATTAAATGCAATATTGTCATGGACAATCCATCGCATAAGCTTAATTTAAAACCGTTTTAGATCAAAGCCAGTGATCAGTTGATGGACTATGTCCCAATCTCTTATGGTGAGTAAGCGATCTGGTTGTTTGAATGCATCAAAAAATGACCTCTTCTTTACAGCAGGCCCATCCTTAGTAAGCTCATGTTCGTCTTTCATATGCTTCAGAGGTATACGAGTCCCACCACTGACTTTCCACAGATGACTTTTATGTCATCTTGTACTATGGCACTTTTTGCAAAGCCAGTACCTTCCTCTGTTTTACTCTCTTTGATATCATATCCTTGCGTCCAGATCCAGGCACAGTGATTTGCTGAGTGAGTGGGCAACTAGAAACTTGAAATACGACTCCAATCAATATCCTCGTAGCTATCGACAGCAACTGCAGGAGAGGTATCAGGCTCGGCATTTTTGCTATTGAAATCAGACGTGTCTTGGTGTTCTATTGAAACAGTGTTCAGCATTGATGTTGTGCAAAGTGGTAATGATAGCGTGACTAATAACTAACATATGTGTATTCAAGTTGTTTACTATTTCCTATTTGGGTCGTGAATTATACCCACCGCCTCCAGGCCCTGGCCAATAATGCCACTCTGCTACTCCTCTGCTAATATATGTTGGAAATAGAGTAAGCTATTCCTATTCGGGATAGGATTCAAAGAACCGCACGAGCATTGACCAACAGGAAATTTCAAGAATCAGATTCACATATCAACTTCATATATCAGCGCGAGATTGTGACAAGATTAATCTATTACTAAGTTGGTGCTAGTACAGATTCGGTTCCAATAATATAGATATGTCACATGAAGATAATTCAGTGCATTTAGTGTAATGTAATGTAGTTTGGGTCCCTTACACTACACACACTGAAAAATAACACAGCTCACACTACTCCATGCTACACTAAAATGTAGTGCACTACGTTTAGTGCGTGTACACTGGAACACTCACACTATTCTCAGGCCCAGTTTGGTCTGCTCACTTGTGTGGCCCTTTATGTCCCCGCACTAGCTCCGGGGTCAGAGCTAGGTAGATAATGGCAATGCCAAATTAACCTACACTACCACCAATCGATACTCACTGGATTTTGCTAACGGTAACTCACCTGCCTTACCAGTTTAGCCACATTTCGATTCGTCAGTCCTTCGTCTGCTATCTGGAGTTGTCACCAATGAGGTATTCAGCTACTTCGAGCGCTAATAAGAGAAGTACTCTTAGTAAATTGCTACTGAGGGAAGAGGTTCATGAAACTAAACCAAAAATGGACGCATGGTGAATCCGGTATCTAGGAGGGATGGGTTATTACTTTTGGGGGGAATATGACTATAACGACAAGAAGGGATGTGTGACGGCTGCAAGAATCGCTGTCGTGTGAGCTCGGTCCTTTGTAGTGCCGCTCCGTGGTCTCGTTGAGCCCTAAGCCCTAGCTGGCCGTACAACGGGATATCCCTTTGTTGTTACGACTTCCTATTTAGGCACCGACGAGACGATACTCGCTTACAAAGGGCTGTAGCAAGCTCACACACAGATTCTTCCTTTCTCCTTCTTTTCTGTATGCTTAGTTTCTTGAAGATGAGCTACCCCAGAGTTTAGGCCTGAGCAAATGTCACAGGATGTTTAAGACATAACTTATGGGCTAGAGAGGCTTTTGCAGCTGATACAGCTTTTCCTCTCGAAATAAGACCATGACCACAGTGTATGCAATGGATGGCAAATAGCGTATTTGTAGCCCTTTAGGCTTGGTGCCTCCGGGCGTAATGAAATTACTTCTACTTTGCTCATAATATATTATGCCTAAATATAGTTGCTGAATTGACAAGGGAAACATTAGTTGCATAGTCCCCGACTCAGCCCTCCAATAATAAACATATCTCCAAAATAGTCAACTCTACTGCCCTTAACATGGCACGCCTATACAAGGTTCTTCAGATTTAGCCACAACACCTATAAGCCACCTCATAATGTGTGATACTCTACTTGGGCCAGCTGATATAATGTGAGATATCAAACAAGCCATCTTGCATTACATAACATGATACATAGTTAAGTGGGCTGATATGTGTTACGTGATACATGGTGACTCATGTCGTGTGACTACTAACTAGGCCACCTTTTATTCTAAGGTCAAATTCAACATTCCTCTAATTTTCCATTACTAATATTGCAATAGTGTAGGTGCAAAGAGGCCCACTTCTCTCTTTTTAAAAGAAGGAGACCTGGAAAGTTGCTTCCCTTGAGTATATAATGAGAGGACATGTAAAATTTATTACCTTGATCAATATCTTTGCCTACTATTACTAGAATCAATCCTACTTCTGGCCCTACTACTGGCAGCCTACCAGTAACGTTTACTGGCACTTATATCACCATTAACTGGAGCAGAGCGACAATCTGTCACAGCTATCGCTCCCATTATTTCTTCATTCTTTAACCGACCGTCCAGTGCCAGACTGGAAAACCGTTACAGTCGGCAGCATAAAGCTCCTCTACATCACCAGCATTATCTTAGTAGTACTTCTGCCAGCAACTTCACTATCCTTTCCAACATTCAAGTTGTCCCAATCGCGCCAGCAGCTATGGCAGGAGCTACATCCGTCAGTGCGTCTAATGGAAGTAGCACCAGTGGTAGTCTACCAGGCTCCACTAACAAAGTTCTTCCTCCTCTTATTATCTCTGTGAAACCTGATAGCGGCCCTACTCCAGGCGGAAACACTGTATCTATCATCGGCCTTGGCTTCACAAATGCTACAGCTGTAGCTTTTGGCCCAACCCCCGCCACCTCCTTCACTGTGGCCTCCTATGAAACAATAAACGCTGTTGTTCCACCAGGACCTAGAGGCGACGGCACTGTCTCTGTCCGTGTCACTGGATCTCAGGGTATCAGTAATACCATGTCATACACCTATAAAGCTCATCCTGTTATCGACAATGCGACTCCTAATAATGGCCCTCCTACAGGCGGAAACACTGTTATCATTACTGGCTCTGGTTTTGCCAATGCTACTTCAGTGACTTTTGGATCAATTTCAGCCACATACTTTACCAGGGTCTCTGACACACAAATAGATGCTATTGTTCCACCAGGATCTAGTAGCAGCACTGTCTCTGTCCATGTCAATGGACCTGGTGGTATTAGTAATAGCATACCATATATTTACGCTATTCCTGTTATCAACGCTATAAGTCCCACTAGTGGCCGTGTTGCGGGTGGAAACACTGTTGTTATTACTGGCCGTGGGTTGCTAGATGTCACGTCTGTGACATTTGGTTCAAATCATGCCTCTTTCACTATTGTTTCTGACACATTGATAGACGCTGTTGCTCCACCAAGACTTAATGGTATAGGCACTGTCTCTGTCTATGTTACTGGGCCTGGTGGTATCACTAGTAATGGCATACCATACAGCTACAATCAAATTGGTCCTGTTATTGGTACTATAAGCCCTACTAGTGGCCCTATTGCAGGTGGAAACACTGTTGTTATTACTGGCTTTGGTTTCACAAATATCACAGCTGTGACTTTTGGTTCGAATCCTCAGATTCCTACCCCTTTCACTATTGTCTCTAGCACAGTGATCAATGCTGTTGTTCCACCAGGACCTAGTGGTGGAGGCACTATCCCTGTCTATGTTATTGGGTCTACTGGCACTAGTAATAGCATATCATACACCTATACTTAAACTGGTCCTGTTATCAGTTCTATAAGCCCTACTAGTGGCCCTGTTGCAGGTGGAAACACTACTGTTATTACTAGCTCTGGTTTTACAAATGCTACAGCTATGACTTTTAATTTAACTTCTACCTCTTTCACTATTACCTCTAATACAGTGATCAATGCTATTGTTCCACCAGGACCTAGTGGTGGAGGCACTGTCTCTGTACATGTTACTGGGTCTAGTGGTACCGGTACGGTTACATATACCTATACTCTAGCTCCTATTGTCACCAGGCTTACTCCAGCGGCTGGGCCGATAGCAGGTGGGAATACGGTCACCATCACAGGCTCAAACTTCAGCAATGCCACAGCAGTTACATTTGATGGTATTCTAGCCAGTTCTTTTGCCATTTTACAGCCCACTCAGATAGTTGCTGTTGCTCCGCCGACTACTGCTGTCAAGGTTGCCTCTGTGGTAGTCACAACGCCTGGTGGTTCTAGCACTCCTGGCCCAGGGTCTGAGTATGGTTATACAACTGCACCTTCCACTATAAGTGTGAGTCCTGCTTTGGGCAGCACGGCTGGTGGAGACACTGTTACCATCATCAGCAGTGGCTTCAGAGGTACCACCAGTGTGGATTTTGGAACCACCTCTGCAACAAGCTTCACTGTTTTCAGTAATACGGAGATAAATGCCATCACACCAGCACACTCCATTGGCACAGTCCCAATTGTTATTACCAGCTCAGGTGGCACAAACAGCACACTTAGTTTCAGCTTTGTGATGCCACCAGTTCTTACCTTAATTGCGCCAACTTCCAGATCGGCCGCAGGGGGCACGGTGGTGTCCATCACCGGGCAAAATTTGGCAAGTTCCCTTAATGTGAATTTTGGGCACACTGCAGTAGTGCCTACGTCCATCATTGACGACAACACAGTAACTGCAATAAGCCCTGCTGGAACGGCGGGTGTTATTGCTGTGACAGTTACTACAGCTGCTGGCACAAGCAACGGCCTCCCATTCATCTATGTCATGTAATTAGGATTGAGAAACACACGCACTGTACGTGCATCGTATTGAAAATAAAATTTGCCTTCAGAATTGGAATCTACGCCCTCAATTACACTAGGATGAGGTGCCTCGGCTGTGATCTGCCTCCAATATAGTTTAGTGGTTAGCCCGTGAAGCTTGAGAGTTAAAGTTTGGAGTTGAACAGCGTCGCCAGTAAAATGAAAGCAACAGTGTGTGTGCTGGACTGGAAGCTGTCGGATTGGTGGGTTTACTCCAGTCCAACCCTGAATAGTAGTTTCACTAGGATGTGAAAAGAAGAAGTGACTAACAAGATTGTATGTATTGAGTTATCTAATGTTTCTGTTTATACATGAGATTCCAAGCCGGGTTTATATAGACATTTTTAGCGGGGTGATTTGTGAGCTTTCATGAGGGGTAACCATGAGGACAATATTGAGCTCTGATAAGGTGGCTTCTGATTGACTGAGATGTACTACATAGGTGCCCAAGTATTGCCCTAACGTGGCTAGTAGATCTTCAACAGGACAAGACGATCTTTCTGACACAGCCCCTCAGCTGCAGAAAGCACAGCTTGCAAAGCTGGGAATAGTTTCATATATTGTCGGGCATGTCGTTGAGTGAAGGCAATTCTTCGATATCCGGATTCTCCATGTCCTTTTGCTGAGATGCAAGATGACAGTCAATATTCTCCACTCCGATTTGGTTAGGAAAGATTTGGTGTTCCTGCTTGCTGAGTGCCTTGGTCAGGCCGTTGGCGATCATATCTTTTGGAAGCATGTAGTGCACTTGGATGTCCCCTTTCTGCACGTCTTGTCGAGCCCAGAGATTATGAATATCGACGTGTCGAAGTTTTGTACGCAATCGTGGAGCATCTTTCTCTAGCAGTCCCAACGTCTGTTAGTTATCGCAGAAAACGTGAAGAGTGGGTGTCTTAAACTCTATCTCTAACTCAAGAAGCAATCGAACCACATATTTGCCTTCTTTCACCCCATAAGCGAGAGCTAACAATTCGGCTTCCGTAGTTGATGTTGTTACCGTATCCTGTTTGTTGGCTTGCCATCCTATCGTTCCTCCGAAGTGTCATGACATATGCTTGCGAGCTCTTGCGGTCGGGTGTATTATCTGCAAAGGAGGCGTCGGTTGATACTGAAAAAATTTCACCTCCTCCAAGCTTCAAGGCGTACGCACGATGACGTTGGAGATACCATAAAGCCTTGTCAGCAGCTTGGTGGTGCTTGGGTCCGGGATTTGATAAGAACCGTGCAAGCCGTGAGTGTCAGGGTGCAGGGTGCAGGGTCAGGCAGTGCAGAATAGATTAGGAATTGGTTCAGATTACTACAGTCAGGCTATCTCACACAGTACAGGTACAGGTTAGATACAGGACGTAGCTCGAAGAGCTACGTGAAGCTATCTGTGTGTGTGTGGTTTTTTATTTAACGGCCGTGGTTCGTGACTCGCACGTTTCCCACCAATCCCTATTGTGACATAGGCCGCTGAGGGGTAAGCCTCGGGCGTCAAGATCTATATCAGATTTATAAACATATAAGAGACTCTTTGGCATATTTCCATAGCTGCTGTGGTCTTACAGGACGATCCACTTCTATGTGGCCTTTGGATGTTTGCCAGCTGATGGTCTATTAACACTTCATGACCTGTTTTCCACCACCACTAAATTTGAACAGTAATTTTTGCAACGAGAGAAGGGGAATAAAGAGAATGAAGGAAAGAAAGAGAAATATAAAGGAATAAAGGAAAGAATAGAGAAATACATAGGAAGAGTAGAACTGTCTTAACTAGGTGCTAAGGAGAGGTTGGCGAGGACGGATGTCCTCAAAGAAGCGGGTCTCTCTGCTAGCCATGTGGCTGGCCTTTGTGTTTCTTTCGCAGTACCTAAAAGAAGAGAGATGACCTTAGAAGGGGGCCTAGGAGGATGAGGGGCTCGTCTCTTAACTAGATAGAAGATTTACAGATAAAGAGGATATGACTACGGAGATTGGAGTCAAAAGTATTGGCACGCGCTAATTTAGTTGTTTTTTTGGATACATAGCCTTACGCACTAATTACTATGGGAACTGATGCCCCCTACAAATTTTATACACGTCCATTAACATGGACTTTTCTCCCACCAATCCTCTATATTGAACAGGCCTAATATAGTAGATTTGAGGCTATTCGTAGTCTTCCCACTCTGTATTTGCCGCAGGCTCACTTGCTAGATAGGCCCTAAATGACAGTACCCCTTTCTGACGGCAGCGCTTCTTTGAATCCCCTCGAGGCCTACCTTCCTCATACTCATTCCCACCCTCAAGACGTATAATTTCTTCAATGTGAAAGGGGATTCTCTCAATCCAAGCACGGATCCGATCTTGTGGCAGCTCCTCCCAAGCCTTTAACCATGCCTTTTTAGCTGGTTCTCGATCTGCAGGTGCTCCTTGGAGAGTTGTACGTCTCTTTAACCAAAACCAGGCTGGTTCAATAGCATTCAAATCAGGTGAATTACCAGGCCAAAGGAGGCGCTGGATCTCGTGCAAATCGTACACCTCTTTTTGGTGGAAATGAGCATGCGCAGGGGCCCCATCCTTCATGACTAGTGTATGAGGTCTTGATTCCTTACATCTTGCTGCGAATGGAAGTAATTTAGGTAAAAGGACTTCCTATATAAAAAGTTAGTTCGTTCATCAAATTTATATGGAGATTACTACACCTTTTGATAGCGATACCAATCTACACCACCCTTTCCCTTCCGCTCCAATTTGCCATTTTTCGCAGTGAATTTAAACGTTGGTCGGCGGCTTTTTCTAGGCTCTAAGCGAAGCCGTGAAAAAGCATTATTTAATTCCCATTCTTCTCGTGCACGTTCTTCTCGTCCTTGGTTCACAATTTCTAAGTCTTGTAGAACCTTTTTCTTTGCTGCAACGTTCTCCGGATCGTATATATGACATAGACCCTTGTAATCATATGATAAGGCTCCCCAAAACATGAATTCAGAGGCATTCTTGAAATGCGTACGAATAACTGTTGGATCATAGCATTCCCAAGAACGTCGCTAAACTCGGTTAGAGCCTCTCCGGTGTCCCAGGATTATTGATGTCTCGTCCGTCCATATTATTCTTCCAGTCCTCTAGAGTCCAATGCCGATGGCTCAGGGCGAAGGCGAGTCTTCTCTTTTTCATATCTTCTATCAGACCAGGTTTCCAAGTAGGCTTGCATTTATTAAAAGAAAGAAATTTCAAAAGACGCAGGCAAGAAGATTCAGAAATACCAGCTTCAAAAGCAAGAACCTCAGCAGATTTCTCACGACCAGATCGATCCTTAGTTAGACTTGCCAATATTGAACACTCAATCTCCGGGGTTACTACCTTTGGACGTCCCGAGCGTGGTTTATCAACAATATGGCAATCATCAACTAGAGGCTTGACCGCGGGGTCATATCCTGCTGATTTAGCACGGTTTATAATGTTGTAAACACTTTTCTTAGGCATCTGTAGCAAATTCGCGACATCTGGAGGCTTCATATTGGCAAGAAACACCAAGGTTATAACCTGAGAGCGTTGAGCAATAGAGTATTCACTGCTTTTTACCATTTTGATTGAAGCGATGGAGAAATCAGTGTAGGAGTAGGCGTATAACGTAGCGACAGAGGTCAGGCTCCTATATAAATAGAATCAATTAGCAGATCAATTTACAATATAAAAAGCGGTTTATATATTATTGCACTCAATTATTAATTGTTGGGAATAGCTTCATATTTGAAAATGCAGTGTGTTGTCAAAAGGCGAGATAGTGCCCCCCAACCTGTTGACTTCCGTTCACTAGTGTTTTATTAGGAAAAGTCGATACCGTTTTTTTAGATAATTACGGTACGCTAACAGGTACTAAATTTTAGCGCGTGCTGTTGGAGATGTAGAACGGTGTAATAACACGGTAACACTTCCTTTTACTCGCCAATTCTATGTCAGCGTATCTCTTGATTGATTCCTCGCTCTGTCTATTTCTAACATGGGGAATTCTCCTCTATATCGAAGAATCCAAGCCCCTCGCTATAAAACGTGTCTTTCCTTAATTGGCTGACCAACTAGCCAACTAGGGGCCGACTCGAAGTCGATTCGACACCTCATATTATCTAACAAGAGGCATCGCGCGCCTACAATATGAGGCTTGCAACAAGATCCACGATCCTTGCCAATACTTTGTTCCCAATCCGGTAAGGCCTGGATAGATTACCGAGTTTGCAACACGTGCCAATACTTTTGACTCCAACCTCCGTACGTACAAGAAAAAAAGAATTATTGACTATTCTACTAAAAACGCGTATAAAATAATAGAGAATCGGATGTTAAATCGAATGGTATATATGAAAATATAGAAAATGGTATATTGGTTGAGTAGTGAGCGTGGTTATTGACACCCAAGTTTGTTGATTTGTTAGGTGTAAAGGCCATACAGCCGCACGGTAGTATGGCACACATACTACCGTACGCTCAGACTAGATACCAAAAAGCCTTAGTCAGCATGACGCCTTTCCTTTTTGGGCTAGATAGTCTGAGAACCACTAGTTATCAAATGGTTGGTCAAGGCGCCGGTCACAGCCTTGTCACCCCGCTAACCCGGTTGGCTGACCTCCAACCCGGATGTGACCCACAATTAACGCAGTTATCAGACCGTTGATGATTGGCCGGTCACAGTACAGGTCACAATTCTGATTACAAGACGGCACCGCACTAGGATGTTTTAGGGAAGCGGTCAGGAAGGCGGACAGTAATTGGAGATTACCTCCTAGAGTCCTCCTTGCTTTAGAGCGGGAGATCCATCCCGCATACTAACTAACTACTACACTACTACGTGCCTCGTACGGCAAACTAAGCCGATATCGTCTGGATACAGCTCCTTGTCGGTCATAGTACATGTGTAAAACATGGATTCTGACGCTCCTATTGGTGGTAATATTCCACAGGAGCAAAATCGACAGCTTCAAGCTCAGGCAAAGGTCAATAAACGTGCTCAAGAACTGGCATTTGCATTTCAACAGACCCGGCCAAGAGCAACCACCAGATTATACAGCAAACCACAGGCAAAATGGGGAGTCTGGTGTAAAGAGCAAGGATTCTCTGATGGAGAGCTTGTTACGGAGAACAAGATGGTTACTTTCCTTGATGAATGGGTCCTTCACCGTCCAATAAGGTCATCTTGCTACAAGAGAGCCTGTACGGATGAGAATGGAGATCTAGTGACCCAAACCCTAGGGGTCTCGTCTCTGAAGCAATACGCTGCAGGTCTTGTTGATCTTTGGAAATTTCAAAAAACGCTTGGTACGAATCTGGGGCCAAATCCTTGAGGGCACTTAGTAAAAGCTCTACTGAAAAGCCACCAATTCAATGAGACTCAACGGAAACTAAAAGAATATATTGATCGCAGCTTAAACACTCTATAGGATGGGTATACTAAAGAGGACATTAGGGCAGTCGTACAGTACTGCTGGACCGGATGGCAAGATCCAGATGTCAAAGGCCAAAGACCACAGGCTCAGGAATCCTACCTTCATATAGCTGTTAATTTCTTATTTAGTCACAGCATGCTGCTCCGAGGAGAAGATAGACGGAAGCTCCAGTTCCCAGATCTATTCACCGTACGAATGGAGGAAGGGCCAAGCCCTTGTTGGCCTATGATTCTAATTAAGTTCCATGGGAAAACCAATCAATTTGGATGGCTGGAGTATACAGGGGTTATGCAACATAAAGATCCTTTGCTTTGTACAATTGGCCAAGCAGCATTCTATCTCTTTTATCGATGGGAGATCATGCAGGAGCCAGTTCCCCAGTTCTATTAACAGCAACAGTGGTACGACTTCCACTTCTTTAAGGGTGGTCAGATTACCAAGGAGCTCTCGTATGAGATTAAACTGCAGTGGACTAATGCAGTATTCAATGCCATTGGCTTATCAACAAAGAAAAAGACTCATTCTGGACGAGCAGGAGGAGCTCGAGTTGCTGAACTTCAAGGAGTAGATGAGAATTCTATTTGGAGAGCGGGTCACTGGAATCAGGATAGTATGAGTAATTGCTATCTGTCCGAATTACCTCGACCTTTCCTTCGCACGTTAGCTGGATTTAAACCTACAGATCAAGGCAATTACTATCTCCCTAGGGCTACAGTGTCTCCTCCGGAAAGCCTCGTACGAGCACTCTGGCCTTGGGTCGATTCCTGGCTTACCTGGTTCGGCCTACAGGATCACGCTATACAAAATGTAGGTTCAGTATCAGATCTGCCTCCTCCACTCGCTCTCGTACAAGAGGGCTGTCAAAAATATGACCAAGATGATCTCGCAGCTCAAGGATTTTTGAAGCTTCTTCAACAGCTTCGTACAGTTCTTCTTCAAGATTCAGTCTTTCTTCAAATAGAGATGCCAACCTATCTAATATGGAAACAGCCTCTTTTCCATCGGTCAGACTATAAGGAGTTTGCTCAACAGCTAACACAATCTGTTCATACAAGCTCAACACAATACGAGATCCAGCTTCAGCATACGATGCCTGCTATAGCTGATCAGCTCACAAGCTTTGAGAATAACATACACCAAAGGATGATCTCTAATCATTATAAATCACAAAATGCTCTTTCTCAGCTTACTAATAAGATTCAAAATCTTATCTCTGGCCAAATCTCCTTTACCATATGGGCTAACGGCCCTAAATCAAATACAGAGATATTAACCCCAATGGCAGATTCTGTGCGATCACATTCTCTACAAGAATTTTAGCTAGAGAGCTTAAACATTACTCTGGAGCCGCCTCGACTAGCTTCTCCAGCTCTGTCAAGAGAGATACCTTCATACCAGCTCTCTCGTACGATTCAATCTGTACGAGAGCTCTGGGATGAATGGTGTATTGGCCTAAATGGCCAACCAACTGTACAGACTCTTGAGAGAGAATATGGGGCTAAATAGAGATCAAATGAGAAGGAGCGCGCTATGTTTTCAAGAAGAAAGGTCATCATCGACGAGATCTATGCTCGTGCAAGAGATGGAACCTCTCTAGTTAAAGCTGTTGAAGCTGTGGAACTTGTGCAAACTAGATCTAGATTGACGCTAAACCAGCTAGGGAAGCTGTTGAAGGAAGCTCGTTCTTAATATTATATAGAGAGGGGATTGAAGCTATTCATACGATCATCTACCTTAGCCATGTTAACCACCTAATCCCCTAACAAACGCCCAGCTCCTATAAATAATTGGAGCCTACCCTCTATTCTATCTTTCTTTCCTTCTTTGCTTCTCTTCTTTCTATTATTTTAATACAGCCATGCAGTAACTAAGATAACGTAATCGGTAAGCGAGTTGGTCACGTAAGCGAGTTGGTCACTTCTTCCCGAAAACGCGCTCTATATCGATTCTACATAATTCAACACGTCAAGATGCCACCAATTCGCAATAAAAATTCAAAAAATTTAGCTGAACAAGAGGGACGAATCTTGTTAGCTATTTCTGATGTAAAAAATGGAAAATTATGTTCTGCATGACAAGCAGCAGAGATCTATAATGTCTCGCGGTCAACTCTTCAAAACAGACTAAATGGCATGGCATATCGAGCTGAAACACGTGCCAATAGCCATAAATTGTCAAAATGTGAAGAGGACTCGCTTGTCAAATAGATACTCGACCTAGACAAACGTGGATTACCTCCTCGACACTCTCTTGTACGAGAGATGGCTGATTATCTTCTTTCACAACGTGGAAATCAACAGGTTGGAGAGAAATGGGTATATAATCTTATTCGACGTCGCCCAGAGCTCGAATCCAAATTTTCCCGGAAATATAACTACGAGCGTGCTAAATGCGAAGATCCAAAGATAATCCAAGAATATTTTGATCGCGTACGAGAGGTTGTATCAGAACATGGAATTTTACAAGAAGATATCTACAATTTTGATGAGACTGGCTTCGCTATGGGACTCTGTGCGACTGCAAGGGTTATCACTGGAATTGATCGATATAATCGTCCAAATCTATTACAGCCTGGTGACCGAGAATGGGTAACTGCAATTGAGGCAGTTAATTCAATTGGATGGGCGTTGCCTTCGTACATTATTTTCAAGGCAAAGAAATACACTCGACTAGGCTGGTTTGAGGATCTTCCAGACGACTGGAAAATCAATATTAGCGATAATGGATGGACGACAGATAAGATTGGATTAGAATGGCTTAAAACTCATTTTATCCCTCTTATTGATGGCCGTACATTGGGGAAATATCGGATGTTGATTCTTGATGGTCATGGAAGCCATTTAACTCCTGAATTTAACCGTACATGCACTGAGAATAATATTATTCCAGTCTGTATGCCTCCTCATTCTTCACATCTTTTACGGCCTCTTGATGTTGGCTGTTTTGCTGTTTTAAAGCGACATTATGGACAGCTTGTTGAGCGGCGAATGAGGCTTGGATTCAATCATATTGATAAACTTGACTTTCTTACTGCATTCCCAAAGGCTCGTACGATGGCATACAAAGCTCAAACTGTTCGGACTAGCTTTACAGCAATTGGATTAGTAACATTCAATCCAGATCGAGTTTATCAACAGCTTACTATTCGATTGAAGACTCCAACACCCCCTCCAAGTCGATCAAGTGATACACAATCATCCTGCTTGCAAACCCCTCAAAACCCACGTCAATTTAAGCGCCAAATGACTACAACAAAGAAGAGAATAAGCCGGCATACAAGAAGTTCATCTGAGGCTATTGGTGAAGTGTTTACACGGACATCAAAGGCTTATGAGATGAGTATTAATAAGCTTACAATTGCACAGAAGGAACTCCATGATCTACGGGCTGCACATGAGAAGGAGAAGCAAAAACGTCGAAGATCTAAGCAGCAAATATCTCATGAGCAGGGAATTACCAGAGAGGAAGCTCAAGCACTCGTACAAGGTCAGATTGAAGCATCTCAAGCTGTTACTACTGCTCCGGCCGAGCCTGAGCTCCCAGTCTCTCATCCACCTGTACGACGTCAATTTCGCTGCAGTGGTTGTGGTGTTGCAGGGCATAAAATAACTGGATGTCCTAATCGTATTAGTACTTAATTTTTTGTATATAATTTGTATGTGGGTTAGAAATTTATGTTTAAGATCAATATAGAGCGCGTTCTCGGGAAGAAGTGACCAACTCGCTTACGTGACCAACTCGCTTACCGATTGGTTAACGTAATCGGTAAGCGAACCGGCCATGTAAGCGAACCGGCCACCTCTCCGGAAAATAACTCTCTATATTGATTTCAAATCCCAATTTCTCAATCACGTACAAATTATATACAAAAATCTAACTACTAGTACGACTAGGACATTGATTTATTCTATGCCCCATAACGTTACAACCACTGCAGCGAAATTGGCGGCGTACGACTGCTTGAGAAGCTGGGAGCTCCGGCTCAGCCAGAGTAGTAGTAACAGCATGAGATGCCTCAACCTGACCTTGTACGAGCGCCTGAGCTTCCTCTCTAGTAATCCCTTGCTCAATAGATATCTGTTTATTAGATCTTTTGCACTTTTGCTTCTCTTTTTCATGCGCAGCTCGTAAATCACGGTTTTCTTTCCGTACGAGTAAAGCATCATTCGCTAGTATTTCGTAGGCTTTCGATAACCGTATAACTGCCTGATTGATTTCTTCATTCTGATTCAGGCTTCCTGTACGCTTATTTATACGCTTATTGATTGTAGTTGACTGGCGTACAAATTGGCGTATATTTTGAGGTGTTTGTAAGCAGGATGATGCTGTATTGCTTGATCGACTTGGAGGGGGGGTTGGAGTCTTCAATTGAATATTGAGATGTTGAAGAACTCGATCTGGATTGAAAGGCACTAATCCGGTGGCTGCGAAGCTATTCCGAATAGTTTGAGCTTTATATGCCACTGTACGAGCCTGTGAAAATGCTGTTAAGAAGTCGATTTTGTCAATATAATTAAAACCAAGCCTCATTCGTTGTTCAACAAGCTGCCCATAATATCGCTTTAGAACTGCAAAACAGCCAACATCAAGAGGCTATAAGAGATGTGAAGAATGAGGAGGCATACAGACTGGAATAATCTTATGATCCGTACATGTACGGTCAAATTCTGCAGTCAAATAGCTTCCATGGCCATCAAGAATCAACATACTGTATGTTCCCAATGTACGACCACTAGTAAGAGGAATAAAATGGGTTTTAAGCCATTCTAATCCTATCTGATCTGTAGTCCAGCCATTATCGCTAATATTGATTCTCCAATCATCCGGAAGCTCATCAAACCAGCCTAATCGTACGTTTTTCTTTGCTTTGAAAATCACGTACGAAGGCAGAGCCCATCCGGTTGAATTTGTTGCTTCAATTGCAGTCACCCATTCTCGATTTCCAGGCTGTAGAAGCTTTGGCTGGGCATATCGATCGCTTCCAGTAATAACCTTTGCAGTTGCGCAGAGTCCCATAGCAAAGCCCGTCTCATCAAAATTATAGATATCTTCTGGTAAGATGCCGTACTCAGATATTATATCTCGTACGCGGTCAAAATGGCCTTGTATAATCTTTGGATCTTCACATTTGGCACGTTCGTAGTTGTATTTTCGTGAGAATTTGGATTCAATCTCTGGGCGACGTTGAACAAGATTATATACCCATTTATCTCCAACCCGTTGATCTCCATGTTGTGAGAGAAGATAATTAGCCATATCTCGTACGAGAAAGTGCCGGGGCGGTAATCCACGTTTAGTTAAATCAAGCACCCATTTGACAAGCGAATCCTCCTCAGATTGACTCAATTTATGGTTGTTGGCGCGTGTTATTTGTCGATACGGCACTCCTTTCATTCGATCTTGAAGAGTTGTACGAGCAACCATATAGATTCTTGCAGCTTCACGAATACTGCGAATTCTTCCATTTTTTAAATCGGAAATAGCTAATTCGATCTTTCCCTCATCCTGAGTGGATTTTAGGGGGTCTTTTTTGCGAATTGGTGGCATTTTGACGCGTTGTAATATGGTAAATCAATATAGAGAGTTATTTTCTGGAGAGGTGGCCGGTTCGCTTACATGGCCGGTTCGCTTACCGATTACGTTAGTTACGTTATGTTAACTAAGTTAGTTAACTGAGATAAGTATTACATGATACAGTTGGTGGCAAAACCAGTACACGCTTTTATTCAATTCAATTGTTTCCCAACCCCCTGTTGCCAAGGACACTAAACTATGTTCATAAATTATTCCGAAGCCCTGTTTCACGTCTCGGTAATGATTAGTTAGTTAGTACGGTATGGTTCATGCTTGATAATCGTCTTCGTAGTACAACTCTTAGGGTACGTACTAATAATAATATAGTCTACTTCGTAGGAGTTCTAACAGCCTCGCTTCAGCTAGCCGAGGCTTCTTCCAAGTCAGCCTTGCCTCTAACTAGTCTAAATATAGTTAATATTGTTACAATACCTATGATTAGTCTCCGGTTCTTACTCTGGTTGATACTTAGACGCGTGCTACGCCGGGGCCCTGAACAACCAGGCTTAGCTCGGAACATAAATCTGTCAACAACGAATTCTGAGCTTGGCTACGGAATCGAGTCTAACCACAAGTCCCTTTTTCAAGCAGTGACGACAGCATGAGTTTCGGTTTCTCTCCAGGCGATATTGCTCTTTTCCTCGGATTCGCTACGAAGGTTGTGAAGGCCTTGAAAGAGGCAGGTGGTTCGAGATCAGAATATTGTCATGCTCAACAACAATGCGAAGGCTTTCTTATGGTAATGGACGACGTCCAACGCCTTGATCTTTCAAATGTGTCGGACTCGTTTCGAAGCCGGATTGAGGAGTACTCAGCACATACTCAGGAATTTGTGAAGGATTTCAAGCGGACCATCGTCAAGTACGAGAAATCAATGGGGAAATCTTCTCATCGCGGATTTATAACAAGCGCTCCAAAGAAGGTCCAGTGGGCTTTTAGCGCGGCTGATGATCTCGAAAAATTCAGACAGAGCCTTTCTTCCCAGGTTAATCTCGTCCAATTCACAATATCAAATGCTATTTTATCAATCGTGGCTAAGTCCAATCAACCACAACAACTTCTACTAGGTCCCGCGCGCCGTGATGCTTTAAGCAAAGCAATTTATCCTGATAGGCATGAACAAGGCTATCTTGATTGGAACTACAATCTGATCGACAGCCTTGATATGCTTGGGCGAGTTAATGATATCACTGATCTTGTGTATGAGCGCCTTCTCACAAGGCGGCCAGGATTGCTACTGGCCGACCATGGAAGGATCTATACTATACCAGATGATGTCAGCATCAGTGTGTCATACCCGCCGCTTAATACTATTTCACATGGCCGTACTCTCCCATCCACGGGTCATTTAAATGAAGTTTCTGTTTTAAATCAACACCATGTTCAGTTAGCACATGAGCGGACATATTCAGTACAACAGAATACTCTAGCAAGCGAAATCAATGAGTACCTTCGTTCCTTAAACTTGGAAGAACTCTCTGAGCGGGAGGCAGAGCAGGTTAATCAAATGAGCTCACAGAGACTTCTACTTAATGAGCCTGAAGAAGAGTCTTCTGAACCGCTCCCACAAAAAACCGAAAACAATAGAGATCAGCCACAGCCATCAGGTTCAGACGAAAAACAACGTCGGAAGTCAAAGTTCCATCACAGAATGTCATCCTTTGGGTTTCCGATGGATGCTTTAAGCGGCGCATCGCTTGCAATTGGTATTACACAATTCATTGCTTCCGCTGCTAAGGTATCATTCGACATTACGAAAATAGAAAATGCCTCTCGGGAGCTCGTGATGCTCTCCAGAAGAATCAGTCAATACTCAATTATTCTTGAGACGGCGACAAATGTAATTTGTACCTCTATGTCTGCTGGGCAGCAACGGCTAGGATGGGACATTATCCAGGAAAGTCAAGTCGCTATAAGGGAAGTGGAAAACATCTTGAATATCTTAACATACAGGACAGAGACCGGGTGGCAGAAATACATGTTAATAATGAGAATAATGATCTGGGAATCGAACAAGAAGAGGGTTCTTTCGCTCTTGGATGAGATTGAGTCCCTCAAGTCAACGTTTTCCATCGTGTTGCAGACTCACCAAATCCAAATTTCGGAGCGCAGATTCGCGGAGATACAATATGCTAGGGAAATACAAATGAAAACCCTGGAGACCCAGCTTGTTATGTCACAAAGCTGATTTCGATTACTCTGCACACATACGTCTATACCAACGCGTGGAAGGAACAAAAATTATGATCTGGCTGGTCAACGAGAAGGCAAAAGAAATTGAAGAAATAAGGGCTAAAATAGGAGTTCGGTACATTAGGACACATACAAATTCAGGAAAAAAATAGTAAAGGATGATTGATATCAGGGCAAAGACACATTAATGAACTTATTTCTAAAAAAATAGTAATTAGTCACCAGCGACATCCAAACAAATATGGTTATTGCGGGCTCGTGTAATAACCACCATACCTGATAAACCTCCTAGGGGTTAGGGTTAGAACAGAGAGTGGCAAAAGTGTGGATACTTCAGCTGGTCATGGTCAAGGTTCAGCTGGTTATGGTCAATGTTCAGCTGGCTATGGTCAATAACGTATTGCTGTAAAGCAATATGAATGTCTCTTATATAGAATGCACGCTGCAAAGGCAGAGGAGATAGGTTTCAGTACATTGACATTCCATACCCTACCTTGTATACTCAACTCTTGTGATCCCTCTTGAATCTCTATACGTATACGTATCCCTCGTAACGTTGTTACAGCTCGTGTTCGTGTCTAATAAAGGTTAGAGCGAAACATCTTAAATAAGTAAGAGTAAAAAAGGGGGCACGCATATTTTGAAAGGCAAGTAGGAACTATGGGACTGTTTTCCTATCATGTATTGAAGTTTCAAGTGATGTCATCTTATTTTATGGTAAAGTACTATCAAATAAAACTTTGGGAATATTATTAATCCGGGGCTTTCCCTGATATAGATTAGGGTGAAACATATTAAACAATTGGAGTGAATCAAATTGTGCACTGGTTTTGCAATCAACTGTATAGTAATCTGCTGGGCTCTTTATTCTTTAATCATACAGACATTAGTGCCTTAGAAGATGATGATGAGACTCTAGTTACATAATAGTATACTTAGCTTGACTCTAAACTATACAGAGTATATCGTGGAGACTGTCCCTTGGAGATTGCTCTGTTTTTGATACAGTGGTGGTGGTGGTATTCATACCCTGACCCCTCGCCGAAGCGATATGCAGGATACAACTATCTAATCCTTATCTATGTCTATGTACAGTAATTCATTACATACAGACAAATTTAGAGCCTCGTCACGGCCTATGGTGGCCAATATGCCTAGTGTTCTGTCAGTGGTCCTATGGCGCCCGGCTTTGAAACCTCTGTGATGCCTCTGCAAAGTCTAGTACTGCACCTAAGATGCTACCGCCTTATATATCACCCTCCTTACCTTGCTTACCTTGAGATCCTCCTCCCAGCATGTCTAAAATATTGTTAAATGCAGTCCCTATCTTCTTCCATAGTTCTTGCTGTATGGTCTTCAATTTTGGATAGTCAATCAGGGGAAGAATTCCGGGCTCATAACCTTCTAATACAGGTAGGATGACCGTTATATATATATCGGTCATCCTACCTACATCTTAGTAGAGAGAATGAACATCTAACTTATAACTCTTACAACAATCCTCTGATGGTAAAGGGTGGTACTTGAGAATTGTCTCAAGACAGTACTCTCAAGATAAATAATTTATCCATTGTGGGACGGATTGAATCTAATGGATCGGGCGTCCCGACCCACATGGTCTGGGACACAGCATCCGATACTTAGTATGATTCATGACAGCAGGCATTGGACAATCTGTGTCATATCTCCTTTGTCTGGACTCTCCTGGCTGTATCAACGTATTGAAACATTTGTTCTAATGAAAATCTCACACTAACCCTTATTCATGCTTTTAATGCCGCGTTTTTTTGGTGGCTCGCCCGGTCAACGTGACCGGGAGCTTGATACGGCCTTGACTCATCTGCGCTTTCATTTCCTGCGAAATCACGAACACCGCGTCGACTCCCCGCATCGTTGCCCATTGGAAACCAGATTGGATTTCACTAGTAAGGTCGTTGCAAGGCACGGTAGGGGCCTATTTTGCCTCTGCTCGATTGGCACGCTCTCGCTCTCGGTTGGCACGTTTCCTTTCTTCCGTGAATTGACCATTTGATGAAGCCATCATTCATACTGTAAACTAAGCAGAGCTTACGCTCTGCTAATAAAGAGAAAGATCAGGAGGGGCCTATTTGCCATTCTGAGTACGCGGCATCTGGAATTGGAACACTGAAGGGCATATGTACGATATTAACGGAATAAGAGAACGCACAGAGCAAAAAATCCTAAGAACGTAAAATATGGCCTTTGCCCGAGACATTCGGCAGGTCGACAACCTTCAGAAGCTCCTTTTCCGAGAGCGCACGATCCACTGCCTATTTGAACAGCTCTTCTGTCCTAAGTTCGAGTCTTGCACTTAAACAATACCAAGTAACTAATGGCCCTCTACTCCATTTGTCTCCTCTACACGAGGAAGAGTACATTCGACAAGGGAGACCTGACTCCTGCAATCCCAAATACGTGACATTTCAAGACCAGCTCTCTCAATGATATTTTTGAACTCTGCAGGAGTACGTTCAATACCGTTGATTATGCTCATCATTGCAATATCTCGTTGGTGACTGTACCGTGTGTAATAGCCGTAATTTGCAGGCAGCGGAGACGGTGCGGAAACCAGACTGTCATACCCTGCTGTAGTATTCATCACTTGGTCGCAGATAAGTATATGAGACTTGGGACTCATGCTGGATTTGATAGCTTCTAGGATTTGAACACAGTAGTCGTCTGACCAGTCATGCCTGTATATTTTGATAGTTCATATCAGTATTACATCCGCATTGAGTTATTGACGGATTCAAAGGAAGGGATTGGATATACAAGATATATCGGAGCCAGTACACGTCCGCCCCCTTGATTGGATTTTCCTCGAAGAAACTGTGAGGAATGAATTTCACACGCCCTTCATCCAGCGCTGACTGATTTTCTTTAGGCCAAACAGTGTTCTGTGCCTGCTGTAATACAGGGGCTCTGTCCAGAACAACGAAGTTGAGTTCTGGGTATATATGGCTAAGCTGAAGACAAAAACCACCTACCCGATATGGTGAGTCAGGGTCCGAAAATGCTTCAAAGAGCGAAGCAGCGAGGAAGAGAGGGATTATATGTATGATAGTTGTCAGAACTTACCAACACCGCCTCCGACATCAACCACAGTAGCTTTTCCCAGGCTAGACCAAGGAAAATCTGGACGATGTTTTAGTATGCAACCAATTATTTATAAGCGTAGAATTAGAAGACCCTTTGAACGTACCGTATAGATGCGCAACTCCAGTGATCTTACCACCACCGAGCATCGCTAATCCAAAGATTTCATGCTCTGGTCGCTTGATCGTGTGGTTACTATGAATCTGAGCTATCGCAGACGAGTATTCCGGTCCAAAACATCCAGGGTATTTGCCAGGACCGCCATTTTGCACATCAGTAGGAGAAATTTCTTCCTCAAGCCAGTTCCACCGTTCCTTACTGATACCAAGTGCCTTCTGGAACGAAGTTTCCGAGACTGAGTACGAGTTTGCGAAATCAGAATGCATAAGAGTGCGCGGAAGAGAGTCGGACGCCGTGTATAAGTCGAACGAGCTATATATTGTGTCAGATTATTTTGTATTCATTGACGTATATGCGAAATTGTCCGTACTGGGCCACTCACAACATGACAATGTATGCTCGTAGAGGTTCGTTATCCACTAGTGCTTGAGAAATATGATTGTTCGCAAACCAATTATCCTTTATTTCCGTAAAGACATGATTTGAGCAGAGACATCTCATAATACGACCTTTAATTAATATTGCTCTTGTTAGTCAAAATCGGCGGTCCCATGATTGAAACTTTCAGAGGTTATAGATCGTGATACCGACCAAGTTTTGCGGCCTCGACACCGGTTTGTTTAGATAGCGTTTCGATGCTAGCGCCAGCCTCGCCACCAGCATGTATTATATCTGCAATACGCAGTGATGCAGCAATGTGGAGACATCTGGCCTCGTTATATGAAGATGAAACCTCTAATAAACGTTCACTAGGATCTGCGACAAGCTCGACCAACTTTCCCGTTACTGCCAAAAGAGTACGTCTCGCTTCATAAAGCTCGCGGCTGGGAAGAGAAGAGTCTTTCTTTTCAGTCCCTAGTTTGCTTGCTCTTGATGGCTCTGTCGAGTATTCTGTTGCCCATTCGCCAATTATTTGGTGAATCGACTTCTGTGTCAATTCAAGCAATTGCAACATTTGATACGCATCTTGAATTGTCCGCATCTTGAAAATTTTCTCAATGGACTGCCCCGAAGAATGCGATAAGAAAGAGGTTATTTTTGACAATGACTTAATCTTGTTGTTTTTGTATATATGGCTTTTTTTTATCATTATGAGCACCGGACCCGCGTATATGTCATACACTGCGTCGAGCACAATGGCTTCCATAACGTAGGAGAGGGACCGGCGTAGGCGTAAAGCAGAGAGCTTATCTGATCTCTCTGGTTGCTGCTCCCCTAACTATCTACCCATGAATGAAAGACTCACAAGTACTCATCTGTATGTTGTAATCTGCAGAGTCTTTGTATGTAGTGAATCTCGAGCAAATAAATAGCTATTGAAGATAATCTAAGTATCCGCAAGCTCATCGTGTGGCCGAATCAGTGGTTTTACGTATCACTCAACCGCAGCTGAATTTGATACAGCCCGAAAGAGAGACCGGCTCAATCAGAACATATATACAAACCTATTGTCATGCATCTGGGTTTTAGCACCCGGATTTTATGGTGTTGCAGCAAATGACCTTCCATAGTTGAAAGCGCATCATCAGGGTTAGGGTAACAGCTTTTAGGGTGAGTTACCCTAAACAAGCCGTCACATCTTTTACTAAGGAAATATAGGTAACCTTCATTTTCCACTGTTGAACATCAATATCGCAGTACATTTTTTCTATCTATTATCTGAAACGAAGGATCGAATTGTATAACTTAGAGATACAGGTTAAAGAGCTTCTCAAGTTCACCTTCACAGATGAAGCACTGTTCCGCTCAGAAGACTTTTGGATGAATCAAGCATCTTAAAACAGCATGCGATGAAATCGGAGGGAAAGGGAATTATTTCGTGCTTCTTTTTCTAATTTGCATATGAGCTGAATGAGCGCCACCTTTTTCCGTACTATAGATCGCGATGACAAAGAGGTTAGCTGTCTGAAAGTACTATATGTCTAGATCATATAGCGAGAGATAAATAACTCACCCTCTGCAATACGAACAAGGGCGGTATCATTGCAACAGCGATAAACCCCAAAGTGCTCGCCGCCCATCCAATTCCGAGGGTCTGTATCATGCGAGTAGCCGCAAGGGGCAGTGCTCCCCCAAATGAACTGCGGAAAAAAGCGTTTCCAGCGAACACGCCGGCAACGTGTCGGGGGTATGATTGTCCTAGGTAATTCAAAACCGTTTGGAAGGTGAGATGAAATCCTGGTGCAAAGAAAGCGGTCCCAATAACGGGCACTATCCAATGAACACTGCAACATGTCAGCTTTACTCTTTTATCAATTGATAGCTTGCCAGTAGGGTCAACTAGAATAAGACTGGATCAAAATTCAAATTTGTTGGGATTAAAAAAGTTACTTACCTTTTACGGGACCCCCATGCAAATATGAACATGCAGATTGGTATGCAAATTGCACCAATTGCACCAGGAATAATGTGTTCTTCCGGATCGACGGTCTGCCCTTCATCCTGCTTTTTCTGTAAATGTGGTTGAAAGTAAAGGCGCATCCAAAGCATGTATGAGCCAACCGATATCATGGCGCCAACAAGAATACCGAAGAAAGCATCTGTGGTTTGCAGTAAGCAAGCTGCATCAAATATGATATTATGCGCAACAATATTACTTACAACATTGTTCAAGCTGCGTGAAACCATAAATATCTTCAAACACTAAATTCAAAATTGGGTTAGTCAATGTAACCACGTTCCTACACTCATTCGACTTACCATAGGGAAAAAATTCGAACCAAAGATATAGGATACCATAAATAAGCATAGTATGTATGTTCACGAACAGAATGATCGGGTCAATGAAGGATAGTCTGAAGTCGACTGCAATTTGCTCAATCATTTCTACGAAAACATTGCCCTTCTTATTCTTTGTTTCGCTTGGACTGTGGTATCTTGAATCGCCGGTTGTTTCACGAAGCTGTTTTGCACGCCGTAGCAGAATATTGGCAGGTAGGGTCTCTGGAAGAAAAAAGAAGAGAAAAACGGTGGAGAGTGCGGACATTCCAGCTATCAACCAAAGCGCTGCTGCCCAGGTGTTCCAGCGCAGGCTAATCAACAGGGCAAAAAAAGTTATTGTCAGGGTGTGTATAGCTACCGGGGAGTAGTTACAGCAGGAACTTACATGACTGAGGTGCCGAGAAGCTAATCTCAAAAGTTAGAATTTTCGCTGTATTTTGTAAGTGAATTGACTCGGGGAAAAACATACTGGTCCGAATACTGGCCCACATAGCCCACTGAAAACGTACATTGCCATAGCATAAGGGACTTCACGAGGTCCGAAAACCTCTGCTAGAGTGGTACCGCCTATGCATGTTGGCGAAGTCCCTACGATACCACCAAAAAAGCGCAGTATCAGGATGGTTTCGATGTTCTTAGCAAGGGCACATCCGATGCAGAAAAGACAAAAAGCTAGAGATCCGAGAACGTAAACTGGAGTACGGCCAAATGATGGAACATTTGAAATAGGGGATAGCTTAAAAACAGTTCGGAATCAGTTCACAAATTTCCTCTCCTTGACTTGGCTCTTATCTGCAGTAATTTGAGGGGAAAAACAACTTACAATAAGAGGGCCAATGCCGTATGCAATAACAAACAATGCCAGCCCAAGTATTCCCACTTCTTCCGAAACGCCAAATTTCTTTTCGATTGATGGAATACTTGCAGTGTATATACCTGGCGCAGTGTAAAAACTCAGATTCACCAGAATGACGTTTGTCAAGACAAGCAATTTGGTGGCTAGTGGCCAATTGACCGGCATTGACGGATCATCAGGGCCGCTCCAGTCAACGAGATACTGCGTTGCATCCGATGTGTTCTTTTCTGTGCTTGAAGAAGATTCTACTCCGTTTGGTGTGGTAGTTTGTAAAGCTGAAAGGCCATTCTCGATCTTGGATGAGGGTTTGGATATTGTTGACGACAGGGAACCCGGGCTAATGCTCGCAAGAACTCTACCAAACGCGGTTTCTCGAAGAAGGAGGGAAGTTGTCATCTTAAGTCAATCTCCTCTGGCGACCGTGGAAGTTTGACAAAGTCGCCCTGCAAAATGTTCCTGGATGCTGTTGTTGAGTTGTTACTGGGAGCAAATTGAAGATGGCTGTTTTCACGATTCCAATAAGATACAGAGTCGAATCTGTCTGTAGGCACGGCATCCTACCATGTACTATACGGTAGTAGGCTTAGTGGACCCGCGTACAGTAGAATGCTTGAAATTGTCGCTAATATTTACAGGGATTGCATAGTAATGAGACACGGTATACCTAATTTGGTAGTAGCCTGCCTAGAAAAATGACCCTTTCTCCCCCTCCTAAGCTTGGCTAATCACACATGACTCGACATCAAAGAACATGAGCTTGTTTGACTCATACATGATGTGGGCCGACTAAATTAGGGCGCGGGAAACGGGTACATTCTCCTAGTCCATACTGAGTCATAGTACAAAAGTGCTGCAGGTGGTCGCGGTAATGCTTTCGTCACGATACGGTATTGTATTATCGTGATGTCTCTCCGACAGCGACAACTGATTTTGTTCAAGAGCGATAGTTACCACTTTCTCTCAACTTCTTCGTACGGTTCGGCGCATACATCAAGTATCAATAGTATTGACCTTTTCCAGTAGACCAACCTCGAGCCAGTATCCGTGGAACGTTCGGTCGTCTCTACAAGACTACACACGTCTTTTGCAAGTCGGTAGACTCAACCCGAATCCGTCGGAATGGAAGCTGACTACGCAACGGCATCATACGGAAAAAAAAATTAATCCATTTATTTTTTACAGTATCCAAACGAAACTTGCTGCAAACTCCTAAAACACATGGGCCAAGAAAAAAGGCAGAAGAGCAATTGGACTATAAGTTCTGATCAGTCATCGCGAGATTCACAGAATTAGTTATCCCAGAAATGACGGTTTTGATATGATGGCTTCCCATGGCAAGTCCAGGATTTTTTTCGGATCACAGTTGTCAACTGTCAGTTTTGGTGCCTTTGGCAAACAAGAATATTGGGGTGTCAACCATACAGCATTGCGTACTTGAAGGTTTAGCTCATTGTTGGAGGTGGAAGAAGCCAGTATGAGTGCTGTCCAGATTTATCGAGATACGAGACAGGCTTTCATTCTCTGGTATAGGCTTGTAAGTGACCCGAGTGGTAATACGAACTCTGCTGGAAATTGAAGGAGACTTTGCATTAATCCTTGCTGAAACTCATTCGCAGCCTCTACAAAGGATACTTCTCCCGGGCTTGGTAATTTTTGACCACCAGGAACGAGACGCTGGAAGACATGTGTCGGATCATACGCTTTCTGGACTTGCCACAGCTTAGACAAGCGTTCTTTACCGTAGCTTTGTATTACGGGTTGATTCCAGCCCGAATACGGAAGCATACTAGAAGAGATCAGCTTGAGGTATTTTTCGCAATGCCATGACAAAAATCTAGGAGTGAAGGCGCACAGAGGACTTACAGATATGGATGTAATAAACCTCTCGACTTGGCAAGCTTTTGCATGTTTTGGACAAATTCGTCATGTGCTTCAAAGACTCGCTGGACGTCTGATTCGGCCGTGAGAGTGACGCCAAAATATAGTACTAAATTTCGAAGGAATCATCAGTTAGTCGCCTTTTCTCATTTCTCGTTTTCCATTTTGTTGTAAAAAAAGAAAGGTATGAAAAGTATGGAATTACCTCCAAGAGTCTGGTTTCCGGCCCCCTCCAGGCCTAGGGCGTTGCCACCTCTGAGCATGCCTTGCTCAATTTGTCGAGGAGTTATAGGCATATTGCAATGCAAGCCATAGAAACCTGGTACGTCGCGATATTTCTGCATCCATTTGCGGTATTCCCACCATATATCCTTGTACAGATCACGATCCGCATAGACTGTCATGATGCGCTGTACTTGGCTATCACGATGTCAGGTCAATGAAAAGAATAGGAAGAAAAACAAGGAGATTTTTAGCTACCAAATGAATGAAGCAGAAAAAGTAGTTGACTCACAATTGACCATCTGGGAAGCCATCATTGAGTTCGTTGGCAAGGTCCGTGTAAACACGGTTATGTACCGTGCTCTTGTAATGTGGTGTTGCATTCCAGCCTTGCATGATCTCGGGTAACTCGTGCACATCGGCATTATAGACTACTGGAGAGAAATTTATAGTCGTGTTTGTCGCACCATCGAAGCCGTATTGGGGCAGCGTATGCGTTAGAACGTCGTCTACGGCCTGGTGAACATGATGATCATAGATGACATCGGCGAGCTCATCGAGGGAGGATTCGGGGTAGTACATTAGACCTCCAAGGACGCGTCCAGGAGTGTCAAATATTCTCAGATTGAAGTGAGTGACAACACCAAAGTTGTTGTTTCCCCCTTTGAGAGCCCAGAAGAGATCAGGGTGATTGTCGAGGTCAGCGAGAACCACAGTTCCGTTGGCTAAGACTACCTCGTATCGAAGTACGTTATCAATGGCAAGCCCATCCCGATTTGAAAAATATGAGAATCCTGCACCCAATGCTAGACCAAGTCCAACTTTCCGATATCTTCCAATGACGGCTGATTTATTGTGCGGATCAAGGGCCGCGTAAACTGAGCCTAGAGTTGCACCTGCTCCGACTCGTATGTAGTCGTCTGCAAAATTTACCTCTAATGTATCGATGCGTTCCATAGGCATGAGAATCCCGTCATGAATATTGGCCGCCCCAGGAATGGCACTATGGCCGCCTCCTTTGATAGCAAATTGACATTCATGTTCAGCAAAAAGAGCCACTGCATCGGCTACTTTTTGAATTGTGTCGGGTAGAAAGACACACCGAGGATCGAGAACCTCAGTTGCTGCTGTTGAGATTGTCAGCCAGAGTTTCAATCAGTGATGTACATGAAGTTAATTTCGTACACCAAAAATGATGGTTCTCGTAGTCATAGGTTGAAGAGCTTTGTATGAAGATATTCTCAGGGTATAGTTGACTGAGTAAGCTGCACTGGTTGGCAATATAGTGGTCAGCATTCGTGATGCAAAGTAAGTCTCGACTGATCGATTAGAAGACTGTCAAAGCTCGAGATGGGGAGTATGTCAAACTGCTAGATGGCTGTCCTAGTGAGACATCTATTACAGAGTGTGCACAAGTGTATCTGAAAATAGGCGGGATATTGAAAGCAGAAGCTTGAACTAACACATTGTGAAAGAGTAGTGGCGGCATTTGTCCCTGGAATGACCAGGGCTAATAGGCCGAGGACTGCAGAAGCTTCCTTTCCACGCATCGCGACTTCCCACGTAACCAATGAATAAGACACAAATCTATCGTCTTTCTTCAGGACTCTACTCAAAATTTATTTAAGTAAAGTAACGCAGTAACATAGACAGTTTTTGACATGTGGTGTCGTTCCTACAACAATTTCTGCGCGACCTCCCATCTTTGTCTCCACCGTTTTCTCCAACCCGGAGTACATATTTCGGACCAGAGTACATTATGCGGCTATATACAAATGCTATAAGGTAAGCACAATTTGAGAGCTCATACAATTATCAGATATATTGTGGAGATAAACACGCAATACACACAATACACACAGCGTTGGTTGACGAAGCCTACAATGAAATTCTCAACTCCTTTGATCCTTCTCTCCGTGCAAGGGCACCTCTTGGGCGCCCTCGCAACAAAACATTCGGCGTCTTCCTACCCTGGTCTGACCGATACCGACTGCCAGATCCGTTGTCCCCAGAGCACAAACCCTTCAAAAGTGATTCTGCCCGCTATTGTCAATATCCAGAATGCTACCGGCGATTGGGACAACGCCCTCGAGTGCTGGGAAGTGGACACAATATCATCTAGTCTGCCCGGAATTGACAATGCATATCGTCTAGACTGGGAGGACGGGTTTGATGCTGGCTATCAGTATATCTTCTATGGGGAGTCTTTCATGCAGGCGCACAGCACTCCTGAGCCAAGTCTGATCGTTGTAGGAGGTGGAATAGGTAAATTACTCTCTGTATGATCCCGTTCAAAGAAGCTTGAACTAACAAACTATCTCTTCCAACGCAGGTGATTTGCGCATGCCCTCTGGTCGCTGCCTTCGGGTTCAAGGAGGCGATAACTTTTTCAGCTTCGGTACCAAGGGTAAAATGACTGCATGGTGGGCTCCAGGAACGGTGGTTTCAGACTTTTATTTCAAGGATGGGGTAATTCCGGAGCACGTCGTTGTGCCAGAGCTTGAGGAGAGCCAGTATGGACGCTTATTGAAGCATCAACAAGAACGTTTGGATCTCTAGGAGATGCGACTAACAAGGGCACCGGTAAAAATTCTTTACACCATTTGAGTCTATTCAAAGAAAGATTTTGGGCGATGAAGAAGGTTGATCAGTCAATATCATCAACAGCATTTGGAGTCTACCATATGTTTCTGGTTCAATTGAAATAAGTTATAGAAGGCCATAATGTATCTAGATAGTAAAAGCAATATAAATCAAGCTGTACCTAGTCACGGTAATCTGCCAAATCATGTTCACAGTCATGCTTCATATAGATACATTCATATTTAGACTTTTTGCCTGAATGCAGCATCTGCACCTCAAGTGATCCGCGAAATATCCTTGTAGTGTCTTCAATTAATAAATTGTAGATCACCCACGTAACTACAAATTGTGTTGGTTTGTGGGAGCAATCGAGATGCCTCACTCCGACGCACTGAGCCGCAGGGCGTCACGTGACCTCGTCTAGGATAGAGGGATGTAAGACCGCGTCGGGGCGTGAGTTAGATAGCTACAATCACACACATTTTGAACCCATACAGAATTGCAGTACCTGCTAACCATTCATGTACGTACGTACATTAACGTGTACACGTGCTTTATGCACCCACACTGATCAGTCTTGGTTGCAATATCAAGACAGATTGGCAAGGTCCTAGGTTCTTTCTTGTAATCACTTGTGGTTATAAAGAACCTGGTTCCAGGCTTCGTTGACTGCATCACGAACCAAGTGGAAGAGGGAGATTCTGCAGCGTCACATCTCTGACAAACTGAATCTTTGCTACAAGACTTTCCCCCCTAAGAGATAATCTTAGGCAGTCTGTGTTAGGAATAGGTTGATCCTATGGCGTCAATATTCTATAATACCGCCCTATCGCGAGACCACGTTGTTGACACGTTCGAAAGTCAACACCAAACAATCAATCATCAAGATAACCGAGTCAACCCAATAAGGAAATCACCAAGATTAGTGAGAATAATGGCTTCCCAAACCCTTGATAATTTGAGATAACCACTGCTAAGCAATGACCCTGAAGTCTTTGGGTCTACTACTAGCCATTGAAGCGAAGCCGAGTTAGAACCTACTAGAATTCCTGATGACGACTTTATGATAGAGACTGGATTTAACACTGTCACCGGGCATAAGAAGATCGATCCAACCTTGTGGGAAAAGGATGCTGGACCGGGGGACAGTGTAGAAGTGTTGGTCAACTACACAATAAGGGCCATGTATGAGGCTGCCGTTAGTCATCACTTTGACCGTGAACTATTTGAATGGCTTCATGATTACTTCGAAGAATGGACTCTGGTCGAATTCAATAAGCTTGACAGGACCACGAGAAGCAAGCTGAAAGACTTCCTTCAGATACGTGGTGTTTATTTGGACCATAGAGGTAAGAAAAACATCTCAGAAGGATTAGTCGAATTGCTTCAGATGGATATTCCCCCAAGATGGCCAGATGACATGATCGCCGGCAAGAAATTTGACTCAAGATCAAGGATGGCCTTAGGTCAACAAGCTCAGTTAACACCAAGGAGTGACACCACCCCGCCAGCTAAGAGAATTAAGAATCATAATAGGGATCACCTCATTGGATTGCCTTATTCTGACAAGGAAAAGGAAGAGACAACACTCAGGAGAGATCCAGAGAGAAGAATCAACAATAACCCCCTACAGCTGGAGACTCATGTCCGAGATCTTGATAGTCGTACACCCTTGACTGGTGCCAACGCAGTGCCGATAGGGACACCGGCCCCCAGTCCAATCAAGATATCTACCACACCACCTCCGCGTCCCTCTACGTCGTTGACATCTGCGAGGCAACTTGATGAGTACATGAGATTGCCGCCTACAGAGTATGAACAAGAGGATATTGACCCGTCGTTGGCCGCAAAGTTTTCCAAGGCATGGGACAAGGCAGAGAGTTATTCAGGAGAACGATATGATATCCTAGACGACAAAGTCCTTGCTTTCCTGAGAGTTTGTCGATTGATTGGAGTACAATTAACGCAATGTTGGATACTCTTTCCCGAGATGCTTTCTGGGCGTGCAAAAACCTACTACATGCACTATATTAGTCAAGATGCTTCATTTACAGATGCGTACAAAGCTATAAAGGCGTACTTTGACACGGATTCCAACCATCGGGTGTACTACCAGGACTGGACGTTGACCACATGAAAGGCGTTCTCCGTAACAACCCCAGCAAAACGCTTGTGGAAGCAGTAGAAATCCTTATTGAGAAACTTCACTTGTGCCAATGTGCCCTGGGAAATGCGTACAAGGGCCAGGAACATCTAGTTGCTGCTGTCACTAGAGCCTGTCAAGATTCGCCTGAGATGAGCGACGCTCTTAGTGATCCTGCAACGAATTTTGAGACGTTGGTATCAAGACTCCGTGCCAGGGCCGCTGTGGTCCAAGGAAAGGAGTCAGCCAGTCAATATCTAACCCGAGTTAAAGCCAACTCAGCTCCCAATGGGATAGGAGAAGACAATCCGATGACGCTGTACACAGATAGAAAGTTCTTGGGCCGCACAAACCAGAATAATCGACAAACCCCACGTCAAGGATATCGACGCCAGGGACGTGATGATCGTAATTCCCGCCAACAAGGTGATAGGAAGTGTTGGATCTGCCACAGGTCCGATTGCCGCTCGTTCAAATACTCCGACGAGGAGCGCCGCAGAGCGAGAGAGCGGTTTAATGATTATCAACATGTAGATGGTAGACGCTCCGCTTCTGACCGCACATATCGCGCCTTTGTCATGGACTTTGAAAAGGGCTGTATGATTGAGTCAGATAGTGAGGAGGATGACGTTGAAGAAGAAGACGATATTGAGGACGACGCCACTGCGTATTTCATGATCAACGAACTGCAAGATCGTTCCTTTATCCATTGGATAAGTGGATACCACGATGATATCAATCAGGAAGGATTCCACCACAAATTGGAGGTAAGAGAGCTTGATCAATCAGAGCGCAAGGATGGCCTCCTAGAACCTGCTTCTCAATTTGTACTTGAACACCATGAAGGCGAGATTTTCCAAGGAATTCTTCCAGATACTGGAGCAGCAAAGGTATCAACTGTTGGCCAACGTCAACTTGCTGCCTTGCAGAGAAGCTATCCAGAGATTACTGTCGATAGGACCCGTGCAGGAGAGCACTCAATTCGATTTGGCCAAGGTGAGAGTGTTCACTCTAAGGGTGCTGTTACCATAACAACCCCAATTGATGATGTTGATTTTCATATTATGAACACGCCAACCCCATTCTTGCTTTGCTTAGACGATATGGATAAACATGGCGCTTACCTAGATAACATTGCGAACTGCATGGTAAAGGGAGACGTACGGGTCCCAATTATCAGAAAGCGAGGCCACCCATGGTTCTTCCTTGATAAGAAGCAGGCGCCAGTAACATTTCTCACAGAGATTGAGATGAGACGACTTCACCGTCGGTTTGGCCATCCTGCGGTTGACCGCTTGCACAAGCTTTTAAAACGAGCAGGCCATGACGATATGGATTACAACAATCTTGCAGAAATTGAGAAGTTTTGCCATCACTGCCAAATGAACCGGCAGGCACCACGACACTTTAAATTCACATTGAATGACGATCGTGAGTTTAACTATGAGATTGTCGTCGATGTTATGTATTTAGATGGCAAGCCGGTGCTTCATGTTGTCGATTGGGCGACGTCCTTCCAGGCCGCACGATTTTTGAAGTCTTTATCTGCGAAAGATACATGGGAAGCGCTCCGGGCAGTGTGGATTGACACCTATCTTGGCCCTCCTGATGTCATCTCACACGACGCAGGAACCAATTTTGCCGCATTAGAATTTAAAACTGAGGCTAAGATAATGGGAATCCAATGTCACCAAGTGCCAGTGGAAGCACACAATGCAATCGGGAAAGTTGAGCGTTACCATGCACCACTGCGTAGAGCATACAACATTATATCGGCAGAACTAGGCGCCAGTGTCGACAAGGACGTGATCCTCCAGATGGCCATCAAAGCTGTCAATGATACCGTGGGACCAGATGGGATAGTTCCAACTGTACTCGTTTTTGGCGCTTACCCGCGCATAACGACTGACTCGCCCCCATCCGCGTTAACTGCTCGACGTGCTGAGGCAATGAGAAAGGCGATGGCCGAATTGAGACGTGCCGTGGCAGAGCGACGAGTCAATGACGCACTTAACACCAGGAACGGCCCAATTATCACGGAAACGCTCAATCTCGCACCAGGGAGCGAAGTCAAAGTATGGCGCGAAGGAGATGGTTGGTCAGGACCGTACAAAGTTATATCAGTCAATGGCCATGACGTGACTGTAGATCTTGGAAATGGTGCTATTACATTCAGGGTGACGTCAGTACAGCAGTATTTACGTGATAGCAAGGATGAGAGTGATCGCCTGATTAGATTGCCTCTCTCTCCCCCCCAAGAGGATCTCAATCGCCAGGACGGTCGGTCCCAAGTCGACTTCGACCAGACTCCGAGGACTAGAGCAAGGGTAAGACTGTAAGACCATCCTGCAAATCCGAATTACCATGTTGAGACTGGGGGAGCCCACGCACCGCAGACCCCCGAGATGCCTGCGTTGCCACGCCGCCGAGGACGACCGCGTGGTTCCAAAAATAAGCCAAAAGCGTACGCCGAAGTGTTCATATCCAAAAAGGAGAGGGACGACCTTGAACTTGCTATCAAGCTACGGCGTGAAGGCAAGATCGCTACCAACGGCGCGCCATTCGAATTATCAGGAAAAACAGAGATTGACAGCTTGATAGAAAATGGGACCTTCAAGATCCTTCACCGTGCCGATATGGACCTGCGTGGCATCAGAATTTTCAATTCCCGCCTTGTCAACGAGATAAAGGGCAAGAATGAGATTCCTATGAGAAATCTCGACTTGTTATACAAGATATAACGACGCTGGAAGGATAAGATCTTGACCCAGCACCCACGATCCAGCGTGCAAGCCAACGCTTATTAGTGTCGCTTATCCCCACACTTATTGAGATGGGAATGTCGTGAGATCCGGGATATCACGCAAGCATACACACAGGCGAAGACCAAGCTCGAGCGTCTGATTATCGCCAATCTTCCCATTGAAATGCAGGATAAGTATCCACTAGATTCACTCCTATTAGTTGAAGGCCCGCTATATGGGATCCCTGAGGCAGGTGTTCATTGGTTTGGAACATACTAGGCGCACCATCTTAACAAATTGAACATGGAAACCTCGACGTACGACCCATGCCTTCTTATCTTAAAGCTAGGAGACGACGAATTTGGACTTGTGGGAATGCAAACGGACGACACACTTCTTATCTGTATAGAAAAGTTCTCCAGAGGTGAACAAGCCGCGTTGCAAGAGGCAAGCTTTAAAGCAAAGCCAAAAACACGACTCTCGGAGACCAAGCCTCTAGAATTCAATGGTGCAAGAATTACCCTGCAGAATGGCATTGTCAATTTACAACAGAAAGGGCAAGCAGCGAGGATCTAACCAGTGGGTATGGAAGAACGCGCACAGAAGTATGTCGAACAACGCGCACGGGGAGCCTATCTGGCTTCGATCTGCCAACCTGAAGCTGCGTATGACTTGGCCGTGGCCGCTCAGCTGCAAGAGAAGGATCGCTCCGATTCTGATTATGAGGCGTTGAATAAACGTCTCATATGGCAGGCCCAGAATCCAGAGAGAGGGCTCCGTTATGTGCCTCTCAACCTCGCCAAAGCCAGGATTATGGTTTTTACTGATGGATCCTTTGCCAATAACCGGGATTTGACTTCCCAAATCGGATTCCTGATTACCATGGTCAACGAAGACTTCTCGCAGCAAGGCCGCTTCGTCGCCACTGGCAACATCTTGCATTGGCAATCAGCAAAGTGTAAACGCGTTATACGGAGTGTACTAGCCTCTGAGGTCTATGGCCTTACAGCTGGATTTGACCATGCGTTCACTATTGCCAGTACCACCAAAATGATCACTAGTCGTCTGGACCTACCGGCAATGCCTGTAATTATTTGTACGGATTCATTTTCGCTTTATGAATGCCTCGGTAAGCTTGGGACCACCAAAGAGAAACGCCTCATGATCGATATCATGGCACTTCGTCAATCTTATGAGAAGCACGAGATCCACGAGATCCGTTGGATCCATGGAGACGATAACCCGGCCGACGCTTTTACGAAGTCAAGCCCTAACAAGGCCCTACGGGACCTTGTTGACAGCAATAAGCTGACAGTTCGTGTTGAAGGCTTCGTTGAGAGAACCGGGAGCGATTAGGAGGCGATTCGGGGCCAAGTGGGGGACGAGATCGAAGTGGAGACGTGTTTTCGGACACGCCAGCTACCTCAATAGATCTTTTGTTTGATCCCTTCGTTATGTTTTTGTATGGTTTTTCATGGGTTTTTGGATCTCGATCGCAATCCAATTTGTAAAAGAGATCCAGTGTTGGTTTGTGGGAGCAATCGAGATGCCTCACTCCGACGCACTGAGCCGCAGGGCGTCACGTGACCTCGTCTAGGATAGAGGGATGTAAGACCGCGTCGGGGCGTGAGTTAGATAGCTACAATCACACACATTTTGAACCCATACAGAATTGCAGTACCTGCTAACCATTCATGTACGTACGTACATTAACGTGTACACGTGCTTTATGCACCCACAAATTGAAACATTATTCATCACGTAATATTCATGTCAATTTCACCGTTTCTTTTTTTTTAAAAAAAATAAAAAAATAAAAACACTTCTCATTCGAGACGACTCTTAAATGGCATTTTCTATTTGAGTGTTTAGAAATCTGCGATATGGGACAGGTTGCCAAATTGATTCCCAACCACAAGCCCCGCCCCAGTATAATTGCCTCTCATAATAAATATGAGTGAGATATGAGTGACAGACTGGAATATAAATACAATCCGAGATATCCATACCACCAAACCAGAAGAGTCTTTTCTAATGCTTAGTTCCAATCAAAATCCGTGTTCTGCCAAAAAGCGAAGCGTATCCCTAATTAGAGCAGGAGCTGAATGGTGGAATAAGATCAAGTGTCCCGTCTCGGGATAGACTTTAATAACATGGTCCACAGCTTGGGGAAATTTGTCATAAAGTGCGTATGGCTGACTGCCGCAGAATTGTCCACCGCAAAAGGTAGAGTCACCTAGCGTTCAATCAATGTCAGTGGGGGTTCAGTGCAATCTATTAAATATTCAAAAACCCCGAAGGTTTTCGAATGTATTGAGGATATGAATAAAATTCAGTAAAAAGAAAGAAGAACATACGATCTCCTATACCGAGAAATACTGGGCCCTTGTACTGCGGTGCATTGACGAGGTGATATACAAAAGTCATGGCAGCTCCCAATGAGTCGAAATCTCGGGCATTCCTAAGATGAAATCAGTTCAGTATGCTGCAGTACGCGTCTCTAAGTGTAAGAGTTCTGAGATACTTTCAATACGTACCAATCATATTCGAGAATTTCCTCATCGTAAGCTCCTGAAAAGCAAGCCACTTTTCGGCCTTCCCGGCTGGATTGAGTTTGGTAGTATGGCTGGATATGCCCCCATTTCTCGGGATCAATTTGTTGAGCAGGTGCCTGCAGGCCAGACAGAAATGCAGGGTAAATCCAGCTGGGATCCCACGAGATGCCGTGGAATACAATACCGTCAAGGTCCTCAGGAAATTGTTGTGCAAGCGAATTAGCCACGATAGCTCCAATAGAGAAGCCAACTAGAACGATTTTCTTCCACTTTTTGCCTCCTATGGCGCCATTACGGATTTGACGAATCAAGTCGTGCGTTGTCTCAACATATGTCTGTGTCTGAGCTTCGAGAAGACCGTCCGGAAAAGTGCTATTACCGTTTCCTAATATGGTCACATAGTCAGTACATACTTAAATCAACTCACACCCGTCGAAAAAAGGTAGGTTCCTAATACCGACAAGATCGACTGCTAATGTATAATAGCCCTCTCGATTCATTCGCTGTACCCAGTTGTATGTCTCCGGCTCATACTGGGATTCCCACATGTTTTTGTTGAAGGAAGCACCATGTATAAGCAACTGAAGAGTGTCAGAATGTGCATTGTCTCGCGATGGCTCACAGAGCCTTGATGACATTTGATACGTGTTTGATACAAGGATCTCCTTATTTGCGAGTGAAATGAGGACATCTGCATCGTAATCACGATTGACGAAGGAATGCTGAGTTGTCCGTTGGACACTGGTGCTCACGTCAAAGTCATGACAAAGTGGCTTCGACAGAACATATTGAGGGCTGGCTAAGGCACCCAAGCCTTGAGCAGCGTACAGTAACGCAAGTAGACGCATTATTTTGCAACTTTGTAGACACAGAACAGGCTGATGAGTAGCCAGGTAATAAAGAAACATATGATTGAAGGAACGAATTTGCCCTTTCGCAAAGAAATTCGGAAGAAAATATGAAGCATATCAGATGCTAATTGATCCGCACGTTGAAGGACCCGCGTACATGGGAGGCATCGTTCCCGCGCAAAGAAGCTAGGTAAAATCACGGCGAAGATTTCGGAGAGCTGTTATGCTACAGACTCCACAAATACACGTGAATGTTGCTGCCAATCCTTTAAAATTCAAACTGGTTTCTACCATTAATATCTAGTTGCCCAGAGCAAGTATTTTCTCGAGATCGAAATTCTAAAGGCAGAGGCACATTTTTTTAAGATCGGAGAACCACAAAGGCCTTGCATTCGTCTTCCCACTTCCATATTCTCCAGCATACCTTGGCCATCTGCTCGCCGATGGCACGTCTGTGGCTCATAACGGGATGCTCCTCCGGCTTTGGCCGTGAAATTGCAATCGCTGCGGCACGTATTGGGGATACAGTAATTGCTGCGTCACGTAGTCCTGAGAAATTAGAGGACCTCAAGAAAGCAGGGAATATTATCCCACAGGCATTGCATGTCCGTGCAAGTGATGAACAGGTGAAGTCAACAGTGTCAGATATTCTAGCTCGTTTCGGCCACATCGACATCCTTGTGAATAATGTCGGATATATCTTAGAGGGAGCTATTGAAGAATGCAGGTAAGTCTTCCGGAATGATCTGTGCGATTTGAGTATCATCAAGAAGTAGGCTGAGATTTCTTAAGTTCACAAGAGATAGAAGCTATATTTGACACCAATGTCTTCAGCCAAATGCGGCTGTTGCGAGCTGTCTTGCCCTCAATGCGAGCCCGACGTTCCGGCGTTGTCGCCAACATGGGTTCTATTGGCGGGTGGTCTGGAACTCCTGCAGCTGGGCTCTATTGCGCCAGTAAGGCAGCCATCGCAATTTATACTGAATCGTTGAGAGGAGAGCTTGCTCCTTTTGATATCCAGGTGGTTTGCATTGAGCCTGGTTATTTTCGCACCAATTTCTTGTCCGGAAACCATAAAATCAGCGTTCAAAAGCCGCTTCCAGAATTAGAACCGGCAACATCGGGAACCCGGTCTGCTCTCGCTGCTTATAATCAGCATCAACCCGGCGATCCAGTAAAGGGCGCCGCCATCATAGTTGAAGCTCTTACAGGAACAGGTCGCTGTCAAGGACGACAGCTGCCCCCACGTCTAGCCTTGGGACGGGATGCGATTGCCGCTATTACCAGCGCTATTGACCGCAACCGGGACAGTCTTGAGCAATGGAAAGACGTAGTTATGGCGACCGACTGTGAGGATGTACAAGCTTAGAATACTCGACTGTGACTTCGGTAGTACTGACTATGTGTACGAGTGGCAGATATGGCTTCAAGGCGCTCAAGTATCTATACATCCGAAATACAAGAACCGTAGACGGATACATGACATAATAAGTTGCGTAAAGTTGTCTTTGAGTTCTTAGAGTTAGCGTGCGTGCATTGTGTTTTAGAGACAGCAATCTCGGGATACCTTCTATTTCGAAATTGAGAAACATAAGTTAGGATTTACTTACGAATAAATGACTCGCAAAAGACGCCGTGATCGACTCATGTACTAGTTAGTGGATAATGATCCGAATTTCTGCCGAAATCCGAAAAATGGGTAGACCAAGAAAAGGAACAATAAGTTAAAAAGTCACTGACGAGCGAGCGAGGAGCCACTTGAACGACGTGGCCAATGAAAAAAATAAGTATTTCTGTGCAGGATATTCTAGACTCTATGTAGTAATTACTACTTATGAACATCATATATTACGGCATTTTATGATCCAGGGTCATTAGCTCTACTCGGTTTTTGGCTAGCCCTAAGTCCTTTATCGCCGACCAGTAACTAAGCATTGATTGAGCTCTCGGCGTTGAATGTCGGACTTTAATTCGGTTAGTATGTTCTCGTCGTGAACGCAAGGGTCTTATTGGGCATGTTACCAGTGGACCGCTGTACATCGTAAGCTATTTGGGCAAAGTGTGCTATCAAATTGCATCGCGGTACTGCCATTCCGGGTCAAACATGCGGCGTACGCAGGGTCGGCTTCAAGGCAGTGTCCAGTCACACTACAGCATTCGCAAAGTGTATCTTCTCTTTTGTCGCCACGCCCATTGCTGTGACTCCACTGCTTTATTGGTCAAGTTCATCGCCGAATTCTCCTGTTCATCGACGATTATTAAAACGCTCTTCAATCCTGTTAGTTGATCGTTCATCGTTTCTCTCAGAACACCCAAAAACCTCAAGTCACTCTCAACATCATGGCACCTGCGAAAGTATGGTTAATTACTGGCGCCTCCTCTGGCATCGGCCTTGAGCTTGCCAAAGTGGCAGCAGCTCGCGGAGATTCAGTCATTGCAGCAACACGAAGCCCTAAGAAGATTGAGGCCTTAGGCTTGTCTAAGAATATCAAGGCAGCTCATCTTGATCATAATGAGCCTCTGCCTCAGATCAAAACTGCAATGCAAGACATTTTATCCATTTTCGGTACGGTCGATATTGTTGTGAACAATGCAGCGTATGTCCAAACTGGCATGTTGGAAGAACTCTCTCCCGAAGAATCATTGCAACAATTTCAAGTCAATGTACTTGGACCTATGAATATTTATCGTGCTATACTGCCACATTTACGAGAGAAAGGCTCTGGTACCCTTGTCACCATTGGCTCAATGGCGGCTTGGTATCCTATGCCTGGCTGTAATGCTTATAATGCATCTAAAGCTGCAATTCGCTGGTTGGGTATTGGATTAGCTGGCGAAGTCGCTCAGTTTGGAATTCGACACACTCTAGTTGAGCCTGGCTTTTTCCGTACAGAGCTGCTCAACCCGAACGCCAATTTCGCGACAACGTCCAAAACCCAGCGATTGCCAGCTTATGCAGAATTGAACGCTACTACAGACAAAAATTTCGTCAATTTCCATGGCGCCCAACTTGGCAATCCAGTCAAAGGTGCGGAAATTCTATATGACGTGGTTACATCATCTGGAGTCGCTGCAGGTAAAGAATTGCCAGATTTTCTGCCTCTGGGAAGTGATGCTAGCGATGAAATATCGAAGGCTGCGTCTAAAACGATAGCTACGATTGATGAATGGCGTGATATCAGCGCTATGAGTGATTTCACTGCTGGCAAATAAAAAGTCTTCTATCTTTATATGGCAGGAATGATGATTGAAAATCTAGTGCACTGCATAGACTGACCTAGTTTTGAGATGATCATGTTAGATTAGGACAGAAATTAGAGTTATGTCATAGCCAAATAAATTTAGCTGACACAGGGTTCAAGACATTGATATCTTTAGCTTTGTAAATTATTCTATAGATCAGTTCCGTCCGTAAGGGCTCTTAAAGCTGACATATTCTCTACACGAACCTCATGGGCCTTGAGCTCGACGGCAGGCACGTCTGCTCCCACAGGTAGCAAGAGTGGTACATTGTTTGGATCCATTGTCAGAGCTTCCACAATAACGTTCGCGGCTTTGATCGGATCCCCCTGTTGCGCACCATCAAACTTATCGAAGATATGCCTGATAGGCTCCAGAATCGGATTATAATCAGTAATGCGAGCCTGCACCTTACGTCGATGTCCTCGAGAGAGGAATGGAGTGCGGAAATGGCCAAGTTGAATCAGGCACATCCGAATACCTAGCGGGGCGACCTCCTTTTGGAAAGCTTCGATAACTGTAGCAGCTGCAGCTTTAGAAGCACAGAATACTCCTGCATTAGGAGCACCTTGCAAGCCGCCAATACCTGCTAGATGAGCAATAACTCCACGTCTTTCCTCTCGCATGTAAGGAAGTACCGCTCTAAACACTCGTAATGGTCCAAATACATGTGTTTCGAACACATGTTGAATCTCCATATCGCTAGTAAGAAGTGTCAGGGAGATTGAAAGACCAGTAAGGCAAATTAAAATGATGTACTGAGAGACGTACCCATGCTCTTCCACACCTCCTTCCAGAAGATATCCTGCCACGTTTACTACAAAGTCAACGAAGCCCTCTTGCCGAATTATGTCATCAATAGCTCGGCGTATGATCGCATCTGAGCTTGTCAAATCAAGCTGGAGCGTTTTACATCCGATCTTAGCAAGACCTTCTAGTGCTGACTGGTTCCTTCCAACCGCAATGACTGTGGCAAAGGGCTGCACTTTACGTGCAATCTCCTGACCAATTCCAGATGATGCGCCGATGATCAGCCACACGGGACGAGTTTGAGGATGAGCGGAGTTGAAGGTATTGGACATATTGCTTGTATTAGATAACAGGCAATATGTGAATGAATTGTGCAAGAATCGAGTGCAAAGCCTAGAGTTTGTAAGTTAAATTCAGATAATCAATCTGATGAATGGTAATTGGCGGACTAACTTATACTATAGCTGTTGTTTTACGCAGGACCGTTTCACAATTTCGTGAACAGTATTAGTAAGCTCAGGGTCCTGTAGCCGGAGTAAAGTTTCAAGTGATGGAATCGTCGCTAGGAGGAAAGCGAATGTACTCTGTTGGTAATGATTCAGCTTCTTGGATATGTACTTAATACTTCATACTTCATGGGCGAATCTATACTTCGGATGAATTTCACCTTACCTATGTATCGCTATGGACCGCTAGGACTGTCTCTTTTGGTATTTCCAGTGTATGAAATTAGAATTAATACTGATAATTGGTTGGCCATACATCAGTTGCCTTTGAAACAAAGGCCGCTAGAGTGGTTTGATTTCATATGGAACAACGAGCTAGTGCATTTCAATATATCATAATTGTCTAATAAGTCCTTTATTGATTAACTCCTCTCCAAACGAAAACCAGACTTGTTTGTCATCGCAATTCGTATTAGACATTCTACTGTCTCTGAATTCGGATTATATATGGTTAAGGTGACCTTTTCTGGACTACTATCATAGTCCATTGAGTCGGCTGTTGGTGGGCGCTGTACGCTGTCCTTCATGGATCGTGCGGATGTCAAATCCGAGGTCAACAATCTTTCCTGTGTCGCTGAACATGCTGAAAAGTCCATCATGTCCGGGGGTAAATTTTCAAAGCCATAGGAAGTATGCTGTGTATCTGAAACTGTGTGCGGATAGTTGGAAAATAGTTGTTCCAAACTGATCCAAGACGCCATGTCGGCTGAAGCCTGCGTCTGGGCGATGTTTGAAAATGTATTCATTGATGGATTATTCATCGTCGCAAGCTCCATATTGGTAGAAGAATGGGAACTATTCATGCCAGAATCAAGATTCCAGGTCTGCACTGGATGAGTACTCATTTCTCGATCGTCCTCTGACGTGAGGATTTCAAACATTGGATCAACGTCACTCAAATCATCGTCAGAGAGAGAGATGCCGTCCACCTCATTTTGATCATTTAGCGCGGCTTCGAACTCATCTGATACCTGTTCGCCCTGATCATTCTTATTAGCCCGTGTGCCTTTTTGGCCTCGCCGACATAGAATAGTGAATCTGCAGAGAAATGATGTTACTATTGTGGTACTTTTGCGAATTGAGAATGACTGCAATCTTACTGATTTTTTATTGTATTCCTAGATCGGGTCGGAAAGTATTCGACCTGAATCTCTTTCCATTGACTGCCCTTGACCTTGTACGCTTCCAAAAGAAGCTTATTCTATCCAGATCATGAGAAATAATTACTCCATAGAAGTTAAAAAGGCGGCGTTCAGGATCAGGCTGGTTATTTTCTAGCATACCTCTTCTTCAGTCCATTGGCTGCGATTCAATTGAGGGTCTAATGATTGTTTCCAGCGTTTCGAACATTCTATGATATTCGATTAGTATGCTTGAGTATACATTGTTTCAATATCAGAAACAAATACGTTCTGCATTTCGAGTTTTCACGACGTCCGCAACTACCGTCCAACTATTGGATTTCAGTCTCGGCATAGTCGAAATTGTGCGCATCCAGTAGATCCTGACCTTTTGCCATGAGTATTGACGGCATCTATCAATAATTTATCTTCAGCATCGGTCCAGTGTCCCTTATTCATCCCCCCTGCCACCACGTTATGCCAACGTTTCCGGCAATCTTTATTTGTGCGACCTGGAAGCTTGGCTGCAATGTTTTGCCAATCGCGTACACCTCCTTGTGAGACTATGACGCACCGTGCAGTACAATTAGCGAATGATGCAATAACCAGACGGGAAATCGTTTGAATACATACGTTGAGCAAGTACCTCTTGGCGCAGCAATTGATCCTCTTCTGGAGTCCAACGGTTGGGCGGTTGTGGCATGTTTGTGTCAATGCTTTTCAAAAGCTCTTCATCGATGTAGAGTGAGTATATCCTTCAAAGTATGGGATCAAATTTCCAGGACAATTCAGTGCTTGGTCTCTCTCAAGACATATAATAAAGCTAGCGGCTACACCAGATATGTTGAGTGGCAGTGCACTTTTCTTACAGGCCTATGTGCAGGCTTTTACGCGAGATATACGTGAAATGCAGCTAACATTGTGGATTTCATCCCAGATAAGTGCATGGATATCTGTCCTTTAGTTGGCCCTACAACAACAAAAACTGAGTTAATGTTTCGATACACGGTTCTAAGGCTTTCCAAGTGCATAATAATAATTAATCATATTTATTGTCTGTATCAAGCACTACAGGCTATGACAGACAAGTGCATAACCAGGCATTAAGAGAGGTTACTAATCAAGGTTCCGGGATGATCGACCCTACATATATCAATAAAACTCTATGTGTTGTTCGTATTTTTCTCTCCTGGTTTTATTGGCTGAGTTTAGTTCTAGAGTCGCGAGAACTGTCAAATTCATGGACCCCCTTCTCGGGGAAGATTAAGCTCTGACATCTTTCACGCAATGGCCGACCAATTTTTGTGTTTCCGTATCTTAGGCTTGCCACTATGGCCGATATGAGTTAGCTGCCGCAATGGACACACTACGGAAAAGCTAACACCAACCACAGCTGTACCGAATCCGATACGTGAATAACCTCAATTTATAGAAAGGTCAGACGCGAGACCTGGTTTATCTCAGGATCTCGGGCATCCTTTCGGCCGCGGCACATGCCTGCATGTTCACTATATTTCATACTCTGTAGTATGTCAGCTGATGCATGCATACAGCGTACTCCAATTTTATAGTAGAAGATCTTATACGCTGTCAGTTCTCTTAGCGTACTCTGTATCCGACAGGCAATCATGCACACGTATTTACAAATAGTAAAGGGTTTCTAGGCCTGCATGCTCACTATATTTTATACTCTGTAGTATGTCAGCTGGTGCCCGCGTACAGCGTACTCCGACTTCATACCATACTTTATTTCAATCATGAAGGCCGCCACTGACCTAGTTGGCTCGAAATAGGGAACGCCTACCCAATGCCTAGAAACCCTTTACTATTTGTAGATACGTGTGCATGATTGCCTATCGGATACAGAGTACGCTAAGAGAACTGACAGCGTATAAGATCTTCTACTATAAAATTGGAGTACGCTGTACGCGGGAACCAGCTGACATACTACAGAGTATGAAATATAGTGAGCATGCAGGCCTAGAAACCCTTTACTATTTGTAAATACGTGTGCATGATTGCCTGTCGGATGTAGAGTACGCTAAGAGAACTGACCTTACCTTAAAGCGCTAGGCGGTTGGCTTATACGAGCACATAAAAATGTCATAAAATCTTCTACTATGTAGTAGAAGATCTGGATCTGCAGATCAGCTGGATTCTTACTCAAGCAGGAAGTCCCTACCGATGAACTAATTCCAACTGGGTAAAGGAAAACCCCGAATTGGCAGGCAACTTAAAATGGAGATCTTCGATGTAAATCCTCGGCCCTAGACAGACGTGGATTACCCCCTCTCCCCCCC